TACAATTCTGGTATTTCTATTCAACTGATCGTACATGGTAGTGGTTAATAAAAAAAAAAAGCTACACATCGTTTTTTTTTCCTCATTTAATTGCCATTTATTTCAAGTTACATATATAATGTTAATAAATGCCACTTTAATATACAACCCATCAACTTCAGCACCAAGAGAAAAAAAAAAATCTCTTCCAGCCATAACTTTTAAAATAAAGCTTAAAAAAATCTGAAGAGTTAGTGTGCATCCACAGAGCGTCAAAATAAACGAAGGCAAGGCCAAGAAGTGCAATGTATACCGGGTATAGGCAACTACCAAGCAAAGACACAAGATATCACAGATTGTACTGTTAAGTAAAAAACAGAAAAACGCTCACCTTAGTCATACTCTTGACATTATTATGAAGTTTGGTTCAAATTTGACAAGTTTTCATGAAAGCCTATGAGGTCCATCAGTGTGTGGAAGTTACAGTTGATGCAAAGTCGACTCTGTACAAAACGCTACAAGGACTTTATCTTGGCAAATCTGATAAACTGTACATTCATACAGTTGAGTCTCCTTTGCGCTAAAGCGGTGGAGCAGAAGGAGAATCCTACAGCTTAAGAAAAATTCAGTGTCAAGCTTTATGTTGTCAACCCGAAGCAGTGACAAAGATACTGTGATTAATCTGAGAGACCCCCTCCCTAACATCTCTCAATCCTTCTCGGAGCTGGTTTATAAATCTAGAGCACTAAGGGAGCACGTCAAACGACTGACTTCGTCTCACGTAATAACCCACATCATCTACCTCTACCAGCCATTTGTCCTCCCGTAACAGTCGCCCTGTGAGGAGGAGGGAACAGACTGAAGTCTGACAGATTAGTCCCCAGTATGGCTGCTGAGGTGTGGCCTTGCGCTGGTGTCGGGTTGTCACATTTGATGGAAGATTGCTGGGACGTCTGAGGTGACTATGTGTAGAAGATGACCTCTGGGATCTGTCCGTCTTCTACTGAAGTGCCGTTATTGTTGCCCGCCGCGTAGCAGAAGGTGAAACAGGTCTTTGTGCCGGTGGAGGATGACTCATGTGTTACCTTTCGCATTCCCTTGGTCCCGTAGTGAGAGTCTGGACCCTGTCAGACGCACACACAGAGCAAGATGAGTAAACACTTCCAAATCTGTGGGCTCTTTCCCATACTAGTAATTTCTCTCCGTCTCTCTTCTTGCTGACCTTCAGTGTGGCACAGGCAGTGTAGTTGACGTTGGGTAGAATCTCGACTGGTTCTTTGAACATGACTCTGAAGGTGTTTGCTGACCCGTCACAGCTGAAGCCTGTGTCATTCTGCCCCAACACTGTGTTGCTGTCTGTGTGGATTATCTAGAACGGAGCACAAATACCCAAGATCGCATAAAACCACTAAAAATATGCAAAGATTTGCCTCATAGAAGTACAGTGTCTGATCAAATTATTTATATCGGATAAACCTTTTCAGATTTTGTTACAATTATATTTTCCTCTCACCCAACAATTATGTGTTGTAGTAATACACAGGTTTGTAGTTTTAATGTGACAAAATGAACAAATCTCAAGGTATGAGGCATGAATATTTTTAAAAGACGCTGTAAATACTGGGCCGGTACCTGTATATTGACTTGGTAGTCTGTAGGTCCGTGTATGGAGCCATAAAGTCCAAATCCAACCACAAAAATCCGTCTGTTAACAGAAAACCTGTAAAACAAAGTGAGGTAGATATAATTTTTTCTTGAAATAGCTTCTTAGAGATCAGTTATATATATTCACACACTAATGAGCTTCAAAAATGCAAAAATAAATGATTGCATTTTATGCTGAAATGTTTTATTGTTATTGGTATATAAGTAAGACATTTGTCGCAACCAGCCTACAGCACGTTAGATAACATGAGGTAATATAAGGCCTAGCATCCTTGATCTCAACAAACCTTATGCGGTCGCTCGTCCCACTGTAGCCCCAGCGGCTCTCCACCTGGCCAAAACGGGTGATGCTGCACTCCTTCCCGCGGAGGCAGCAGCGAGGACGGTCGATGAAATCGACACGAGGCTTTGGGTTCACTGTAAAGTGGAGGAAGAGGCTCACCACCTCCCTGTCGGTTAGAATATTAGACTGGGCAGGACCTGGAGGATAACGGCATGAACCAAAAACAGACTTCAGTGTCAGAGCAGTGATTTGAAAGTAAAACAGATGCGGTTAATGTGTGTTCAACTGTGCTCTTCTTAACCTGCTGCAAACTCCTCTATGGTCATGAGAGGGAAGCGGATGAGCGTGAGAGACTTTCCCAGGACTTTGCGCATGTTCTCGGGAGTGGGCTGCAGCTGCTGCCTGCGAGCCTCCGCCTCAGCCCAGCGAACGGCAGCGCCAAACAAACGCACCTCTCTTACTCCTAAAGTGTCCCTCTCCAACACCGCCACCAAAGTATCTGATGGAGATAAATGTGACGTTCATAAACACTCTAATAACTAAATGCAGCTTGAAGCAATGATGACAAAAATTTCAAGTGAGTCTTTACCCAGATCTATGTCTGTGAACCCCTCGGCAGCAAGCGCATCTCCGGTGTTCTTGTCAATGTTCTCCAAACACAAGCTGGCAAGCTGCGGCTCATCAAACAAACGAGCCTAAAACAACACGGTAGCTTGTCAGACTTTGAAAGCATCATCTGATTTTCAGGCAACATCAATGCAGTGAATGCTCCTGGAGGAAGTTGAGTTTGCTCTTTATTTTTGAGCAAAAATAACAAATAAAAAAACTTGTATTCTACACTTTTGTGTTAAACAAACCAAACATATCATTACCAAAATTTTAATAAGGCCTACAAGGGCTCCGTTTTATCTGCCGTCTTATTTGTAGGTTTTGACTTGGGCACTTATTTTGAAAAATGCATATTGAAGAACATTAAACTATTCCCAAATTCCAGGACTTCATAGTCACATTCTTCAAATTTCTCAGCAAATTTTGAATTGTAAATGCTGAAGTTCACTATGAAACTGTCATCTATGGATGGATAAACAGATACATAGTTAGATGGACAAAGAGACTGACAAACAAATGGACGAAAATACATTGATAAACCTACAGATAATGAACACATGGATGAAACTAAGTGTTTCAACAAATATCACTCCTCTGGAGCTTTAGATCCTGAATCTAAGGTAAGGAAGCAGACCTGTGTAAGGAGCATGAAAGCATTGTCTGCTCTGAGGTTTTTCTTCAGGAACTCCACACAGTGAGCCTCCAGGGCAGGAACCGCATACTTTTTGGCTGTATACAGAGTAGTCATCACAGTCTCAGGCCCGATCTGGACTTCATCAGAATACAGGAACCTGAAACAGAAGACATTGTTGCAGTAAAACATAGATTTAAAAAAGTAATAATAATAATAATAAAAACTCCTTACTTTAGCAGGGCCAAAAAAGCAGCTGGTTCCACATCAGGAAGTTCAATTTCCGTGGAAGTGGTCGCCATGCCACCGTTGAACATGGCATCAAACACCGCGCTGCCCACAGCCAGGACGAACCTGACACGCCACGGCAACAACAACAGGAGGGGTCAGCTCGCTCTTTTCAAGCCATTTGTTTCTGCTGAAGCTAATCCTCTTACCTGTGAGCTGGTATTCTCTGAACACCCATACCTTTGCCAACCAAGAAATGAACGTCACTCAGCACCTCGTTGTTGAAGAGAAACGCAAACCTCTCCTTGACGGTGCTCTTCGTCGCCTGCCAGTTGTACACCGGCTCTCTGTACACTAGCACGGACGCTGCAGCCGGGGTGGCGCTCGGTGCGGTGGCCGGGGAGGCGTTCGACGCTGCGCTGCTTACCATATTGGACGCCGGGGAGGCCATGGCTCCCGCTGCCGCAGAAGCAGCACCTGCCGCAGCGGGCGGCTGCAGAGGGTTCTGCGCAGTCGGCGGAGCTCCGCTCGAGACACCGCTGCCGTCTGCCCCGCCAGGCCCCAGCTGCGGGTTGGGTCGCCTCGCAGTTCCCTGTACTCCACCGGCTGCACCGACCGCTCCCCCGTTGGATGCTGGCATTGAGAAAACGCTGTTGCTGGGCTGGCTGTTCCCCAAAGGGCCCGGGCCAGAGAAACTAAGGCAAGGAAGCCTGCCGCTGTTGTCTCCAGCGGCCATCTTCAACCTGCTGTAGGCGTAAACAACAAACTTCATCGCTTTCCGTAATTGCAGTGGTCCACACGCTCCTGCTGGGCTTTTATTCCCCCTGGCGATTATTTCAGGTACTGCAAACTGTTGTCTGAATCGCAACTCCTAATTAAGTAAATATTTCTAAGATTAAAAATCAGTGTTACTAGAAAAAACTTTTTTTTAGTAAAATTGCAAAAATAACTTTGATCCTTTCTAAAATATATTTACTGATGACGAGGCAGACGACATACATAAAACTTAAACGTGTAAAGCCAAAATACATTTTTAAAAATAATCGGATGCAACATGAAAAGCTTTATGTTTCTCGAAACTAAGGTCTATATTACATTTAAGCTAGCAGTGTTGTAGACCGGTCTGCAGACCAGTTTTTGTTGGTCTCGGTCGAGTGGTCTAACTTTTTACGTCACTTAGAATAGAAGCTCAAAGAAAGGTGAGCTGCCCCTTAGACGAGATGCCAGCAAAGTTAGCTGTACAGAGACACATAAGCATTTATAATAATAATAATTTTTTTAAAAAAGTCACTCACTGCGCTGAATTATTGTGCGGATGCGTTGACTAACGCGTCGCAGGTATGGGACACCACTGTGTCCAAAAGTCTGCAATATAGTGAGGTGACGTTCACGAGGCTTCTGAATTTCTCCCTACTGAGAATACAGGACTGGAGCCTCACCGAGAGCCATTCTTTGTTCATGTAATGCTCTGCATGCACTGCAGTAGCTATCGTTATTTTATTTAATTATATACATTGGTATTTATTTAATTTGCAAATAAAACACAAGAAGGAAAGAGCACGCAGAGCATGCGCATTACTCATTGATTGTTTTCATTCAAAGTGGCAGCTGTAAATTCTGCCATGATGGCAGTGGACTGTCTCCCAGTGTCTTCATGCATTGGGAAAGAGGCTGAGAACAGTCATGGTGAGCAGCTTAATTACTTCTTGCTTGTTGTTCTTTGGTCAGTGTTCATAGTGGAGCGTTGTTTACCGTCAGTTGCTATGTTTAATGGTCCAGACAGTGGTGGTTTCTGACATGAATGATATGGGCAAATGCCCAGGGCATTATCTTTATGAAATTTATTTCAGCTCTACATATAGGTGTTTTTATGGTAATGTGAATCAATCTGATCAATTTGATTAGCAATTGTGGTCATATTTTACTGATCATATCAGTAAAACAGCCAAAAATCAATTTGATCTTGGAATTGTCAAATTTTCGGGAGACTTTGCTGTAACATGACCTGGTCTGCTAACCATCACCATAATTTGGTGAATCAGAAGGTGTTTGAGAAACATGTCAATATGAAACATGACAATGACCCAAAATATTCCAATTAGGTTAAACATCAGGAAAATTGGAATGCTATTGCTGGATATGTTTCCTATCTATTTATACTGATTGAGGTTGACATACTCTTGACTCATTCCTTCTTTTCCATTTTTACAATGCCCCTACCACTCTTTGAGACTTAATTTAATGTCTTATCAAGCATGGCTAAAGTTAGACACATATGTGAACATTTCTTTTGAAATAATGGACTAATAATGAGATGTCCTAATTTTTCACAACTTGAGTTTAAATATTGGAGTTTAATCATTTCTGGGTGTTTTTCTGCATTTAGCACTGTGTGCAAAAGTTGTTTTTTGAAGTCAAGATTTCATGGCTTTATCAATAAATGTTTCATGTCTAAAATGTTCTCAGTATCATTTTAGACATGAAATGATACTGAATACTAACTAATAAATAGTTAGTATTCCTCTGTAACACAGCTCCTTGTTCAATCAGAAACTCTCTGTTTGGTAACACAGACACAAAGAAGTTCCCAATGTGCTGAGCCAAAGGATTTCCCAGACCAGACAAGCTTTTCCTGACTCTGGGATTTAACTTTTTCTTTCTACTGTAATTGCTTTACATTGAGTTCCTTAACACCAAACTTAAGGAAGTTTGGTGTGTCCAAAAGTCTGCAATATAGTGAGGAAAGGAATAAAGGTAGATCACTGAAAAGGATTTTGATACACAACAGTCAAACAAGAGTAAAAGTAATTCAATTATCCATCATCTACCAGCTGTTTGTAAGGTCTCAAACAGCTGGTGCCACTTTAGTGGCCATTGGGTGGGATCCACCTTGGACAGGTTGCAAGGAAATATAACCATGCACACTCATATCTGAGGACAATTTTAGAGAAAGCAGTCAATAAAATCAACCATATTTTTGGAAGTTATTTCCAATGAAACAGTCTCAAAACAAGACCCCAGAGCCAACCTGCAGCCCCAGAAGTCATTCACAAATTGTGGTTCACTGACATGCAGTTCAAGATTTTCAAAATGCAATCAGGTTATAAATTTTCATGTATTGTTAGGTAGTAGTGTTTCCAGGTTGGAAACTAAATGAGATTTAGGAAAATGGACTTGGACAGTGAGCAAAAGAATACAGACAGTCGTGATCAGGTTGTCCTACACACACCTCAAACTTTTTGTGAATGAAAAATAAACGTTTGAAAAGTGTGAATGAGTATATTTTCTCTCCATATTCTGCACTGTAAAACTGTGTTTTACTTGTTGTTTCAACATTTTCTTTTTTTTCAGTCTGAAAAGGTAATAATAGATTTGTTGAGAAAAAAAATGAATAAATAGATTTAACAATAATTCATCATGTTTACCTTAGAGGTCAGTCAGGCTGGTGAGTGGAATAAAACGTTTGATTCGTCTGTGTTTCAGTCCCTTCACTCTGAGACCCAGTTGTCTTCCACATCAATTCATTTCTGTTTGATTTTAAATAACATTCTGGGATTTTCAGAGTTTGCTTCTTGATTTTCTGTCACTAATTCAACATGATAAAAAAAAAAGTCTTTATCAGTCAGCAGAGTTTGTTATTTAAGTTTCTGGTTTTCTGTTTCTTAGATTTAATTTCGCTGAAGAATCAAAGTCACCACCGTCCCACCATATTTGACAGTCAGTATGATGTTCCTCTTCTGGAATGCTGTGCTAATTTATGCAAAATGCAATCAGTTATACACTTTTCAAAAACTTCCCATTTTGTTTATTCTTTCCCAAATATTTGTCCCAAATTTGGGATTCTCAAGATGATTCTGGGCAAATACTAGACTAGTGTTTTTTTTTTTATGTTGTTTTTTTTTGTGCGTTTGACCTTGGAAACTTCCTGCTGATGTCATTTTTGCCTAGTCTATTTCTTTTTGTTGAATCATGCGCATGAAGCAAGTGATGCCTGTTGTGCTTTAGATGCATTTCTGAGCTCATTCATGAGTCATCAATGGTCTCTCCGAATAATTTAAATAGGCCAGCCACTTTTTATTGAACAGCAGTTCAATAAATCCATAGATGTTTTCTCTATCTATGGATTAACAGTGGCTCTCATCACTATGGTTCACTGGAGTTTTAGAAATGACAACCTCCTTCCATCCTGATATTGTTTCTTGACTAAATATCTTAAGATTATGTAACACTGTTTTTATTTAACATCTGAATCTGATAGATCTGGGTGTGGGCAGTGAAACTGAACAAAAAATATTTTCAGGTAATTTATGATCAACTATTAGGCCACAGTTACTTTCTCACATAAGGTTTTTGGTCACTTTTATCCCATTAAGGTAGGAGATCATCATTTAAAGACAGTATGTATTCAGTCTGAGCATCTTAGATTTTTATTTTATTTTTTTGATGATCAGAAATGTTAGAATTAAAGAAACCTGTTAAATTAGCTGAGTTTTTCCGTGAAGTGAACTTAGAGCTAGTTGGTAGTGATGGTGAACTGACATATCGTTGATCTTTGACAGAGCGGTTGAGCTGAATCAACCCGCCGGGTTTTACAGTGCAGACTGCATCGCCCTCCCATCACGATGATGTTATACAGTCCCATCCCGTCCTCCGTGCATCCCTGCAGCCCTCTGGAGGAGCGAACCCCCTCGCCGCCTGCTCCTCATCAACCGTGACGTCAGGGCGGCGAGGCACGGGGGAGTTGTCCTCGCGCCGGAGCCCGGTGGATGCTGCTGAAACAAGATGGCTGTGCGCGCAGGAGGAGCAGCGGCGGAGAGCTGAGGCAATGCAGAGGAGGAAGCAGAGGGGGGGCGAGGAATCTACTCCTGTCTGTCCGGTCCGGTCTTCAAAGGAGCAACAGTCCCGCAGAAGGACAGACGAGTCTCTCTGAGATGGTGTCAGTTTGTTGCCGCCTGGGTTCTGGGTAACGGGTCTCCGTCGCTCTGAGTTTTTCCTGTGGCCAAGACTCTCTAAAGAGGACTGACTAAACAAACCGCGGAGCACCAAGCAGAGGACAGCCGGGGACGCTCGCACCGCTTTCAGAGATGTCCCTGCTGTGTGTGGGAGGTAAGGAGGGAAACCAGTGAAACAGACCGTGCGTGTGTGTGATGTTGCTGAAGTGTTACCTGCTCACGGTTCAACTGCAGCAGTAGTCCCCGACAGTGCTGACTGTCAGCTGCCTGGAAAAAAGTGTTGTCCGAGCACAGGAGGTTCTTTGCTGAATGGTCATTTAGAAAACCTAGCAGCTCTGAAGGCGTTTTCAAAGGTGGAAGACTTTTGACTGAATATTTCATTGAATGGTGCGTTTTGTTTTCATTCATTGTCGGTACCAAAAATATATTTATTATTATTATTTTTTTTATACATATTTATATTTTTTAAATGGCATTTTGAAGAATGGTAAAATTATCAGCTAATATACATGGCCATTATCGCGCAGGCTGCTGTTTCCCTTCCGGCTGCTGTTAGTTCTTTTGCGGGTAGCGTGCGTGTGCGCGCGCGTGTACGTGTAAGTGTGTGTTTCATCCACTCCTCATTCATGCGTGGGCAGGAGGAGGAGGAGGAGGACGAGGAAAAGCCCCTGCTGCACCGCTGCTCTGCCGCTACCGCGCTGCGCCGCTCTCTTGCCGCTCGCCGCTCCCCTGTGCCGCTCTGCCGTACCGAGGGAAATACTGGCGGCAGGAGGTGCAAGTCTACGGCAACCCCCGACGCACACCCCTTCAGGACCACTCCGCGTCTTCCCCTAAAATGCCATGCGTCACCACACGCCCAAAAATCACTTGATGCTGTCACTGAAACCTCTTATTAGTCGGATGAATAAGCAGAGTTGGCGCGGTAACGTGACGGAGTCCACGTTCAGGACTAGTGAAAGGGCGGAGAAAGACCTAAAACGGGAGATTCTCTTCCACAGTATTCTCCATCACGTTTCTGAGTATTTATTTTTTTATATACAGACTAGAGCTGATTCAGCAACAAACGCCTAGACAAGTGGCAAGAGAATAAAGAGTCAAGCATATATAGATTTCAGTTTAAAATAGCCTTCAGCAAATCCCCGTCTCTATTTGTAGATATGTTTCAAGTCAGTAGTAATTCTTATAGTATCATAAATTTAGAGGTACTTCTACACGATAAATTATAATCGGTTGACTATTATGATGAAAAATGTAATTGTGACAGTAACCATGAATTCTTCATCCAACATGTGGCACGGGGGCCATTTGCTGCCCTTGGAAGAATTCTGTGAGGTCCCTGACTGTAGACAGCAAACCAAGCTGATGCAGATGCACAATGTCATTTTCTACTTACTTTCACGTTGTTAGGAAAAATGTTAGGTACAATATGCTCTTTAAAAAGATATGTTTTTTTCCTTCTTTTTTATTAATAATTTTATTTTTAAAGTGATCAATCAACATTTTACTTAAGATCAAAGTTTGGCAGAGTTAGTTATCTAAATACAGCAAGTGTCTCTGAGGAAAGCTTATTTAATAAACCAAAGCATTTTTTCACAAAACCAAAAGAAAAAAAAAATTGACCCAAAAAGTTTGAAAATTCTAGATATTTCTTTTACGTGAAATCAAATAAGACAAGATTTTCCTCTTGTTTATTTATTTTTTCATTTTTTTTAAACAATTTTCACAGTCTAGCTTTTTTATCGTGGGTTGTCCTAAAAGGAAAAGATCAGGTGGAAATAATAGCAGTGACGTGGGTACTTTAAGTCCCACTAAAAAGCCATTTCAGTGAACAAGAATGAGTTTGACCTAGGCCAAATGAAGTTCATTTCCTTGCTTTCCAGTAGCAAGTAAAGAAAGGTGAACAAATGGGCTTGCCTCTCTAAAAATAGTGCTTTGAGTTACTGTAGTGCTTTTGAATCTCTTCCCTGTCTTATATTCAGCTCACATATACATATTACCATTAATACAGAGGATAGAATCTGAAAATAACATCAATTTGCATGTGATAACTATTGATCCACCAAACCTTTATGCCTGATAGAGAAACAATCTGTTCACACACAAGCTGTAAAGATCAGTTGAGCTTGCAGCAATCTTTCTAAAAGCTAAAAGAAAATTTAAAGGTTTTTATTTAAGACACGATACATCCAGCTGCTTAATAGATGCTGCTGCACCTCAGCCTGTCCCGTCAGTTCCACCCACTGACTGTTCCTGCTCTGAGTCACTCCCAGATGTCATTAAAAAGACCCTGAGAGTCATTCATTCATAAACGCTGGCTTTTGCAGACTACGAGGCTTGGCAGAGAGCCCTCTTTCTGTTCCGCTTACATCATTCATGCTTACCTGGCTCGAGCTATTTCTGGCCTCCATGGCACTTTGTGCCTCCTGAATAGGCAACGTTGGCATATCTGCCAGCCAAGCAGATTTCAGGCACAGACGCATATTCAATCTGAGCAATTTTTGGCAACCTTTTGCCACTTTAATGTCCGGTCATCTTATTGTCTTTCTTTTGGAACACAAAGCCACAGTCTGATGTCGCTGTCAGCAGCTGGATTACTGCTTCTCTCTCGCGATCTGTCAGAATAAGATTCTGTCTGTCTGAATGAAGGCGTCCCTCTTTTGTGTCATGAAACAGCTGAAGTCAGCTCCACCTTCTTCCAGTTTATCTTCCCTGACAGTTCAAGATGAAGGGTCTGCTTGATTTCCTGTTCAGTCGGTTTTCTTGGCAATAACCAGCCCAGTCCTCATAAGTCAGACGGTGCTGTCTTTGGAAGAAATTCCTGAATGAAGATAACGCAGGATATTTACTGCAGGTACTTTTCGGTTACTAGCAGAGTAATTTCATCTTAAAACTAATTTGTGGCGTTTACCACAATTTTTACGACTCCACGAAGTTTGTGCCAAAATGCCTCGCTATATATATATATATATATAAAATGGCCATATATATATATGTTTTGATGAATGTATACAGTTTCTTGCAAAAATATTCACACATCTTAAACATTTTCATATTTTATCATGTTGCATCCCCAAACTTTAGGGTCTGTTAGTGTTTCAAAGCTTAAGAAGTTGATTTAGAAGCTTAATAACATTCAAAATCAGATCAAAATGCATTCAGGTTGACTGTTTGCACTTAGGTAGCAACTTAAAACAATTAATTACACTTGAATTTATTCAAGAGAACTGAATACAAACGCTTGTTAGAAACCAAACACTTTTCTTTCACCTCATAATTATCAACTACTGACACATAAAATCTAAAAACATAAAATGAAGTTTGTGTTTGTTGCAAAAGAAAAAGTTTAAGGGTTCTGAATACTTTTACAACACGCTTTACCCTGTATTAATATCTTTATGTCTTGTTTGTCGTGAACATGCAGAGCATCCCTCAAGGTTGCCGAGGCTGAATGAAAGCACTGATTATGTAATTCCCATCCTTGCTGCAGGTGCACAGCAAAGGAGCGAGCCACTGCATTTAGCATGTGACTCCATCATGAGGCGTCATGGCAGAAGCTGCAGGTTTATCTCCAGTGGGTGCTTGGTACACAAAAAAAGGCTTGGAAAATAGAAAAGTACCTTGCTGACTCAGGGCAATTGTGCGTTTTCGCTTTGTGTTTGCTACTATGGTGACTGGTTATAATGTAGGTACTGTACATGTAAGAAAATTGTGAGAAGGGTTATAATTTGTGTTTCTGGTAGATTTCTAAAGATAGAAAAGCTCAGGTTTTTTATGTACCACAGAGAACTTTAATATCTTATTCTGTAAACATGTCCATGTGAGGCATGCACACATCTGCAGTGAGGCGTGTGTGTGTGTGTGTGTGTGTGTGGTGTGTGTGTGTGTGTGTGTGTGTGTGTGTGTGTGTGTGTGTGTGTGTGTGTGTGTGTGTGTGTGTGTGTGTGTGTGTGTGTGTGTGTGTGTGTGTGTGTGTGAGGACCTCCTAGAGTGTACGCGGTTGAGAGTAGTGGGTAGTGAAGCATTAAAAATGCATGTGTGAATTACGTCACGGCTGGTAAAACAGTGCTGCAGAGAGGGAGCCCAGGCTTACAGAGCACACAGAAAAATCCACAGGCAGATACTGTTTGATTTAGAATGTTATATTTGCCTTTAATGCCAGGAAAAGAGAGAAATTTGTTCCAAATGTGTTAAATAATAGATACAGAGTAATAAACGTCTTCATGGCTGAATAATTAATATGAGATGAGCATGTTGCTATTTGACATTTTTTTTACTTTTCCGAGCACATTGAAATCCATGTTTAGCACTGGAAATGGTTTCCCATGTGATCTAAGTTGTTGAAACATCAGGGCACATAAAGAATCATATTTTCAGTCAGCATTTGCATAACTGTCTGTTTGCATTCCTCACACACACTTATGTAATGCTGAGTGTGCTTGGTGACCTCTGCCTCTTTGTGGTGATAATATGTATATTTTTTAGGTTCTATGTTATATATGAGTTGCTTATGGAAAAAAGGTACCTTTATGAAAATATATTTTTTTGTCAACTGTCAATATTTTCTATAGTGGACTTAAAGAAGTACTTTCTTAAATACCTATTACAATAAACAATTTGCTTCTCACAAGCTAACTTGCAGAAATGAACTGAAATTATATGTTTGAAGCTAGTAGTTAGCATTGCACAGTAATATGATGTAAGTAAAAAAGACATTTTGCAATGCAGCCAAACTTATTGTTATATTTAGGTCTGTAAGTTTTTTTGTTTTTTACTTTCAACTTGTTCCCAGATTTTAAGCTGAAGTTGTTCTAACAAATATTTTGACAATTTTCACTAAGTGTCTTAAAAGTCTAGATAAAACTCATGATATTTTGCTGAAATTTTGTGAGTTAAACTATAAATTTGTGGATAAATGTAAGGTTGAAAGAATATCAAGTATGTTTTTTTTAATATCATTTTTTTGCATTAGAAATCTGAAGTGTGCCAGTGTTAACATCTTGGTTTTTGTTTCTGGTTTCATAATTTCCTTTCCTTGTTCATTTACTTAGATTTTTGCCTTTTTTCATTCCTTTGTGTGTTTTAATTCTTGGTTTACTATTGTGCAATTAGATTTAGTTTATTTTTCTGTTATTGTTTGTTAGTTTCAGGGGTTTCCTATGTTATATTTTCTCGCTTCCTCCTGCTTATCTTCTTCCTTCCTTCAACCTGACTCTCAGGACAGCTGTTTTTTTCTCCTCATCTCGTCTGTGCTTATGTTTTCCCTCCAGCTGTTCCTCATTTTCTTGGTTACACCTTTTGCATATATACCCATCTGTTCCCTTTTGTCTTTGTCTGATTCTCCCCCCTGTTAGCCCTGTGTTTTTTCTCCCTCAAAACGTTTTTGCTGTAAGCATTTTGTAACTCTCTTTATCAATTTGGTTACTCTAACTCTTCCACTTTCCCCTCAGTATTTTAATCTGATCCCTGAGCTTCACGTAACAGGTAGACATTAATATTCTGCATTCTTAACTCTCCCAAAGAAAAACATTCCCCACAGCATGATGCTGCCACCACCATGCATTATTGTGATCAGGATGATGCTTAGCATTCTATCACAGATACAAATTGTTTATCACATTTAGACCAAAAAGTTAGGTTTTGATCTGATCAGAGCTCCTTCTTTTACATGCTTCCTTTGACTTTACACTACTTTAACTAGGACCCTTAACATGATGACCTCTGCCCTGAGAGACCTTTACAGAGCAGCTGGACTGTCTAAAGGCAACTGGTCACACAGGATTTTATATCGGGATGTCGAAACAGCATATGATTACACATACAAAATGCATACAACACTTTTTCAGATATTTATTTTGTAAAAGAAATTTTAAAAACTACTTCCTTCCACTACCAAAGTATTCACTAAAAATACAATTAAACAGAAGAAACATTTTTTAAATTTTCTTCTATTAAAAAGGTTTTGTTTCAATTTCCGACATGTTGCCTTGACTGCTATTTTAGTACATTGCAAACCTCCTTGGTTCGCCCTCTCTGTATGAAAACAGAAGACATGTGAGCATGAAAACAGATGGTGTTCCTGTGTGTCACCATGTCCCTCTCTGTGTTCCCACAGTGAAGAAAGCCAAGCTGGATGGACCCCAAGGTAAGGCCTCGGTTCACCAAAATAATAAGAGGCGGTGCATGAGGAATCTGTGTTTTGTTTATGGCTAGATCTTTTAGAAAAGAGTTAGCGATCGTGTTGCTGAACAGAATGTATATTCGATTGTAAAATGCAGATTTATTTTCTCCATCTGATATTTTCTGTTCTTCTCCTTGCAGAAAAGTTTAACACTTATGTGACTCTAAAAGTGCAAAATGTGAAGAGCACAACCATCGCTGTCAGGGGCAACCTACCCTGCTGGGAGCAGGACTTCATGTTGTGAGTCCTTCCGTGTCCTCTCTCTCTCTCTGTCTCTCACACACACACACCTTCATCACAAGCCTCTTCTCATTCACCCGTCTTCTGCTTCTCCCTCCACTGCTGCTCGATTGCTTGATTTCTATCAGCTTTTGTCGCTATTTCTTTCCACTTCTTCATCCTAAGTGCTCTTTATCCCAGTATTGTTTCTCGCAGCTCTTCCTCTCCACCTTCATCAGCTGTCTCCTACTCTTTTTCATCTGATACTTCTGCCTCTCTCTCATTCTCGTTCTTAACTTTGGCCTCCTTCCACCTCTTCTTTTCTCTTCTTTATCACGTCCCCTGCATAAACCCCATTCATCTTCATCTTGGTCTCACCTCTTTCTCTCCCCATTCTGTAGTAACCCCAATGCTCCTGTTTTCCTCTCCCTCCATTCTCTCTCTGCAGCTTTCTTCTCTACACTAGATGTTTCTCCTTTTATCTTTTTTTTATTTCATCTTATATTTTCATAGATATTGAATGGTATCTCATTGCAAGCGCTAATATTACACAACAGTGAATATTTGGCTGTTGGAGTGATTCAGTGTTGACGACGTAGCAGCATATGGGCGGTGAAGGGTGAGAATCATTTAGCGGGATGTGGGCTGCAGCAGGCAGGATTACTGCGGAGTCCTCTGCATCTGTATGATGTTTGGAGGCGTGCAGCATTGTACTGGGGTTGCATCAGTGGAGCTGTGTTATGTAACATTTGGGCTACAGAGAGGGACTCATGTTCTCCCTCAAACTGAGTCCCTCTCTCCCCCAGTCACTGCTTTAAATCAAACTTCTCTTACTTACAGAAAAAAATGAGTAACATTGATATAGGGAATCTACTCCCCTTACTTCTTAATTAAACTTCCGTCTTTGTCCCTCCAGGCAAGCGATAAAATCACCTTTTCCCTCCCTCCCCTTAGTCATCACTCCTTCATCACTTTTCATCTTTCTCTCTGCTGTCTAATATAGGATTTATATTGGACTGTTGTAGAGTTGCTTCAAACATTTCAGCCTATATGTTAGCCACAGTGAAAACGAAAAATAGGTGTATTCACACAACTGACACATTTGGTCCGCTTTAAACGGAGCAGACTTTGTTTGGACATTTGTGCAGATGTAAAAGCACTCGTGCAAAGCCTAATGCGGACCAAACATATGGCTCAAGACCCACTTTCTGAGATGGTTTCAGTCAGGAAGTTGACGCAGTTGATCCATGTGGGGGTGGAATAAAATCCAGAGGAAATGTCTTTAGTTGCATCATAGCAATCAAACCCTTTTTACTTGTCGACCAGCTGTTTCCATGTTTCTACTTCTGTTTTGATTATTTATTTTGTCAAATTTAAGCTTTCGTGATATCCTAATATTTGTACATTTTTTTATTTATTTTTTTCTCCTGTAGTGAAATCAACAGGCTGGATCTTGGCCTGACAGTGGAGGTGTGGAACAAAGGATTAATCTGGGACACCATGGTCGGCACCGTGTGGATTCCCCTCCGTAGCATCCGACAGTCAAATGAGGTTCGTCACGACCACCACTGCATTCTTCAATGGTTTGTGCAATTTTTTTTATTCCTGCATTACCTGCAATCTTTGTGTACACAGGAAGGTCCTGGGGAGTGGGTCACGTTGGACTCTCAAGTCATCATGGCTGACAGTGAGATCTGTGGAACCAAAGATCCCACTCTACACCTGGTGCTGCTTGATACACGCTTTGAACTGCCACTAGGTGAGACTACCAAGTGTGGGTAGAGTAGCAGGAATTGTTCTCACGAAAGAAAAGCATTATTTAACAAAGTAGAAGTAAAATGCATATAGGACCACAAAATATTGTCATAAAACTTTAAATCCATCTCCAATCACCCCTATTAAACAGACACAAATCTTTCATATCTTTCTGTAGTTACCCAAGTAATTATCTATGTCTGCTCAGTGAAATCACTTGGAGTGGGTTTGGAACAAATGAATAAATAAATATACTATGTATATTTTCAGTGCAAATAGTGACAAATGAGCAGGAAAAAAAGCTGATTAATTACCCTGACCCACTTTTAGTTGTATAGTTTGCCCCAAGAGAAGTGTTTGTGTCCTTTTTCTTCTCAGTGATCCCCTTCGCATTGATTAGGTGTTATTTCTATCCTGTTTCCTCTTCCTCTAATCAATAATGTACACCTGACTCCTCAATATGCACAATATCCAATAGGCACATTCTGCCTATTTATAGAAAGTTGCCTCTGAGACTGTAAGTAAAACAGGACAGTTTTAAATGTAGAGTTGTGAGGTCAAGCCAAAGCTGTATTTCTGTGTTGTTTAAAAAAATGAACCATCAGAACCAGGCCAAAGTATGGCTGATGTTTTTCCACTGTGTTTTGGTGTTATCTTATAGGTAATTTTGTGTGGGATTATTCAAAGGGTTTCAGTTGGATGAGCCTTATTTTGAGAGATTTTGTCAGCTGGAGTTTGACCGAATGATTGCTTTCAGATATCCCTGAAGATGAGGCACGCTACTGGGCCAAAAAACTGGAGCAGCTCAATGCCATGAGGGACCAAGATGTAAGCTGCCAGCCTGTTTGTTTTAACATGCCAAAATAATCCTGCAGTACAGGCACAAGCCAGAGAGCAGGTTGCATCATACTTGCTAAAATCCCATAAAGCTTTCTTCACTTTCCACAGTTCTTTGCATAAATGATCAGGGTTTCCCCCAGGGTATCATAAGCCTGGCGGGCGCCATGCTTTCCTAGTCGTCGTTTTCCTCCCTCCCCCCGCCAGGCTAAGAGTTGCTTGTTTATGTTTTTAGGAAAATAACCAGCGCTAACCTCATCATGCAGATTCAACCCGGTTAGGAGGTTTCATGCTCTCCTCGTAGTCTTGCATCACATTGGTTTTATATTATTTCATTAGTAGTAGTAGTAGTGTTTTTCCAGTTATACGATGCCATATTAAAGATTAATTGCGGGTTTCAATAGCGTTTCACTGGCGTTGTCACGTCATAAATAATTACCCAGAAATATTTTTACATTTCCTGTCTACTTAACATCTTTTAATACCAAAACACTGGACTGCTGGTGGACCGCCTCAGCGTCCTGACCACTGGGCTTAGCAAGTTTTCTGGGGGAAAATCCTGAATGTTGATACCACTTAAACCTTTTCTTGACTTTCTGTAATTTGGAAAGAAAATTGGTAGCACTTTTTTTTAATATCATACAAAAAGGTTTGGGAAGCATGCTAAGCTTTTCAGGTGTCAGGTTGGAAATATTCTGGGATGCATTCTTGCTGATCCATTTTATAGTTAATATAAAATTCCAGTAGAATAAATTGAAAGATGTAGCTTTAAGATGACAAAATATAAGAAAGGCTATTATTTCCCAAGATACTGTGTGCATAACTTTATATATGATGCATATTTTTGTGATCCCCAGCCGACTTCGTGTTTAATAATAAGTTTTTATCTGTACTGCTTCTGTCAAATGCAGTACTCATACCAGGAGGAACAGGAACGCCCTCTCCGTGCGCCAGGAACCCAGTGTTGTAAGTAACCTGCAGCTGATTGTACAAAACAGAAAATGATCCATTTAGGTGTAATTAGATTGCTTTAACTCAGCCTCTGATATTATGTTTGGCCACACATGGGTTGCTGTGTGTTAGAGGGGAAACAGGTCTTGTTCACTGCACCATAAAGGATCAATAATCCTATCAAATGTCTGGAGTCAAGCTCCTTGAGATTGCCTGCGATTTTCTGCTGTTGGTCCAGTCTGTGGAGTTCGCTGAGCCAGCTGTCTGAGGCAATTAGAGAGACTCTTTCCATTCACTGCCTGCATTGGGGAACATTGATGCACTGATGGCGGGAATGTGTGTTGGAGTATGAGTACCAGTTCAGGTCAAGATCAATACAAACCCTCTCCTGTTTCTCTGCAGGTAACTGGAGTCTGTGGGGAGATCAGCAAAGTAAGTGCACCGTATTCTGTACTCAATGTTTTTTATCTCTAAATGAAAAGTTTTTCATGGTCTTTTGCAATGTGCAGCATAATCTATCGATTTAGAAAGGGCTGTCAGGATGCCTCATCAGGATCTGACGTTCTCTGTTAATTAGATGAATCATTAAAAAGTAAAAGTCTTTTCCTTATCACTTTTATTGCCTCACTGCATCTGAAGAATGAGTAGCAGCGATACGATTCAAAAGTAGATCCTAATTGTTCACATATGTTGAACTTGATGGAGATTCACAAGCAGATTGCACTGCTTTGTGAATATCTACTGAAGTGATTCAGAAAATATCTGATTATGCCTATTGAGTACAGATTTGTTTTGAATTATATTTTTGATCGTTACACAAATGCCTTTGAAAGAAAAAATATTTTACCTACCTTTCGGTCACTTCTGATTGTGGAAAATGGTATTTATTCTCCAGTTTTCATTTTATCTTATTAAACATGGAATAGATTTAATTTACGGTCGATTTAAAAGGAAGACAAGAACATTACTTCTAACTATTCCTTTCTCTGCCACAGTCAAAACAAAAAACTTATACATTTTGTACAAAAAAGGTCTGTTTTTCTCTGTCATCTCCCCCATTTTTGTGATCAGGGGATGGTGTTATATAAGTGCCTGTCAGACTCACCCACACAACTGCAGCTATTAATTTCTGTTAGCTTAAAAGAAAAAGAAAGAGCAGGGGGTAATGATAGACGTTGAGCAGATTAAGTTTCTCAGAGAATGATACATGCAGGACCAGGGATGATATCCAAAACTTAGTCTGATGCCTTTTTAGGAGTCAGCAGTGCTACAGTCGCAGACATCATTTGGCTTTCAGAGTGCCAAAGATGAGGATTGATTATCATAAATGATTAATAGGTCACCAGTTTGGCTTTTGACTGCTTCACTCTGTAGAATTGTACAAGCACTTCCTTCTGGGAGGGTAATTGTTGATCTATGAACACCACAGAAAAATAAAGCATCTCTTTAGCAAGCTCTGAACTTTATGTTCATTATGTGTTTTACATGTGAATGTTTGCTATGTTGCCAGGAGAAAGTGTCTTTTTCCAGTTTGGAAAATATTCCTTCATTCATCCATTCCTCTCTTCCTCCTTTGCTCTATCATTGTCTTTCTTTGACATTTGAGTCATGTCTTTTGTAGAACTCTTGCCATAAATGCATTGTGAACATTTGTTATTTTAAAATAAACAGAAAGGACTGTGAACCCTGGAAAGTTGAGTCTTGAAAAGTCTGAAATCTTTCAGAAATAATGTGTAGAGAGTTCAATTGTGAAAGTGTGACAACCAGACAGCATTGGAAAGAAAGAATGGTTTGGTTGCGATTAAACTCTTTTTCATCTTCGCTTCCCTCTGCCTTTTGTTTCTGTGCATTTGAGTAGATGAGGACCCAGACAGCGCCGTTGACGACAGGGACAGCGACTATCGCAGTGAAACCAGTAACAGCATTCCACCTCCGTACTACAGCACGTCCCAACCCAATGCCTCTGTCCACCAGTATCCCATCAGCCACCAGCATCGGAGCTCCAGAAGTTTGTCGTATCCACGCTCTGGGAACAACCAAGATCTTGACTACCACCATCAGAGGACAATCAGGTTTGCACCTTCCTCATTTAGTCATACGTACTTTCATTAGAATGTTTGTCTTTGCCTGTAAGAAAGAAAATCTTTTCAGTTCCCGAAATGACTAAAAGTTTAGGTAATAATTTGAAATGCAACGTTTTGCAGAAAATATTCAGATCTGAGTTGCATTTTTAACATTACAAAAACAGCTGAATGGAGTTTAGTTTTATATATGTGACACAACTGAGCCTGGTTGCAATTAACAAATTCAATGGATTTATAATATAAAATCTCACGATGTTGTCTGTTCACTAGTCAACTTTCCTTGAGCCCACCCAGACCGGTTTCTGTTTCCTTCTTAGTTATTTTCGGGGCTGTGTCATTTCAAAAAAGTGCAATTGCAAGTTTATTGATGGATTTTTCTCTCAGACAGGGAATGAAAATATGCATCTACCTCTCGCTCTATGAATAATTCAGCTGGCAGTCTAACGGTCAATACGGCACATAAGATTAGCTGCTTGTGTGAGTGTATTGGACAGGGGCATCCCCCCTCTCTCCCCACACCTCCTCCTCTCCATCTCATCCACTCTGCTCCGTGTGCACCCTCCCTCTCTACCTTTCTGTTTTGTGCCCACTGCTGTCTTCTTATCTTCTCTATCATCTTCCTTTCTCTCTAGGAGCCTGTGCTCAGTTTTTTAATAGCACCCATTCATCAAGACGTACAAAGCTTGTTTTTTGTTGTTGTTGTTTCATTTCTTGATATTTCCTCCTTTTTTTCTGTCAGCTGTCCAGCAGCATATTTCTGCCCTGCTCTGTTTCTTGCTGCTTGTCTGATACCCTTGTACTTCCTGTGTTTTCATTGATTAGCCATCAGCAGTTCTCTCTACTGCTCTGAGATGCGCATAAAAGGTGTTTAGTGGGGAGCACAGCGTTCCGGTCACAGTGCGTCAATACAGCGCTTAATAATTATTTCTGACGTTACAGCTCACAAAGAGGCTGACTGTTTACTACATATTACTGCATTCTAACTTTTCCTTGCTGTCGTCTATCTTTCCTTCCAGCCCCACTGGAAGCTATGCGTCTTCTGCAGAGCTCAGCCGGTGCAGCAGCCAGCTGAGTGAAGAAGATTACGGAGGAGAGTATGGAGAGAGGGATCCGTATGACGAGAATGACTCATACCACTCCTGCCACTCCTCTGTCAGCTACAGCAAAGGCTCCCCGGACTGGGACCCCGATGAGACCCAGGGGGCGTACAGTGATGAGGGCGGCTACAGCAAAGACGGAGGAGAGGAGGTTGCGCTCTACGAGGGAGATGACGGAGAACTGTATGAGGGGGAGGAGGAAGGTCTATATGAGGATGAGGAGATGATGTATGATGATGAGGACTTGTACAACCTGGACGGGACCCTCAGTGAGGACCTTGAGCCGCCGTTCACTCCCACTCCAACGTCAACCGCACCGCCGATGCTTGACGTACCCAACTCCAGGCCTCCTCTGGAGAAACAGTCTTCTATACACCAACAGCCCCCAGGTAAACCCCCCAACCAAACGTCCAATCAGGCTCAGCCTCCCGCAGCACTGCCCCCTACTGGCCAACAAGCGGTCCAGCCCCCCAAACAACCCCAGACACAACCTCAACCTCAAGCAGCCCCATCTGCCACATCCTTCTTCTCAATGGCCAAACCTCTGACTGCTGCAGTCACAGGCCTGGCTTCTTCATTCCTGTCATCAGTTCCCGCTGCCCAGCCTCCACAAGCTTATCCACCAACGTCAGCCGTTCCTCAGCAGCACCAGTCCGCTGCAGCAAACTCTGTCCCTCCTTCACACCCGGCCACCATGGCTAATTCGGCATCCCAGCTGCCCTCCACTGCCACGGGTCCTCCATCCCAGCAGCCCCCGCCCTCCGAGGTGCCACAATCACACGCCAGCGAACCCGCTACCACACAGCCGACCAGTCTTGAGGATGTGGCGCCTCCGATTGAGGAAGAGTGGTTAGAAAATGAGATGAAGGAAGTTGGTACTCCTCCTGCTCAACAGGAGGAGAAACTTCTTGCAGAGCAGAAAGAGGAGCAGTATGAAGAGAGCAGACCGCCGACACCTGAAGAGCAAAAAGAGATTCCACCTGAAAGGTAAGAAATGTTGGGAATGGAAATGGAATTGATTAACTGAATCGTGAACAGATGATTCAGATCATCACTAAACAGACACACTAGATTTGTGTCTGTTTAATAGGGGTGATTGGATATGGATTTAAAGTTTTATGACAATATTTTGTGGTCCTATTGTCACACCAATAAAAGTGACGATAAAAACTATTCATCATTTCTTGTTTTGGTAGCTGCTCTTGAAAAACACACCATTTGTTATACGCTTCCTTTGGACACCAACCACATAACGTTAGTTTAATTTTTATCACTAAGCTACACACAGAAAATGCAATTAATTATATTTTTTAAATTATTATTATTTATCGGTGTTCTCCTGGAACAAACAGTGGAGAAACTAGTATAACTAATAATCCTGATGATTCAGACAGTTCCGGTGGGTTTAAAAAGCATTAATGGGACTTTATTGTGACAACAACAAACCAAACTTTTATGAAATTCAAAATTTATGACGGTAAATGATAAATGATACAATAAATGCCCACCTCTTCTTAATATTTTTCAATTGAATTAAATCAAAAGTAATTTTCAGAGTAAATCTAAGATTGACTATAAATAAATAAATAAGATTTTAGGAGCCTTTCAGTAATCAGTTTAACTAATATTCTTTTGATATCAATCTTATTCAAAAATTAATGCTTTAAATGTTTAACAAAACCATTACTACAGGGTACAAGAGGGATGTAATTTCAGATGCGTTACATACACACTCACGGAACTAGATTGAGTTTCGTTAGAATAAAATTGTTCATTGGTAGAGAAGTTTGTTGCATTTACAGCTCAGAAGTTCATACTGGCTGATTAGAAGATCAATTTTGATCAACAGTTTTTTTCACCATCTTGTTGTTTGAGAAAACTTAATCTGATCCCAATTGTATATCAGCAACCCAGCAATATTGTGAGTACCAATTTTGTCAAAACTCATGCCAAAAGCAAAAAATGGAGAACTGTTCCTACATTGGCTCTGAAATGTATCCTTGACAAAGAGTATGTTTCACTATCCTTCACTCTCCCTTTTATCTTACTGCAGCTTGAGCACCACACTACGGTGCACTATTGCTTTTTTTTTTATTGTTAAATATAAAATATTCTTCCTTTAGTCCTCCAGTACCAGAGGAGCCAAAGGAGCCAGTGGATCCAGCCATCAGAGCCAAAGAGAACTGGCTCAGGCTCTATAACAAGGTCTTAGACCAGCTACGAGAGGTAAGCTCACTGATCAGCTTCCTGCTGCCGTATTTTCACCACCATTCTTTCTAATTTAGTGACTCTGTTCTGTTGTGTTAGTTTGATTAATTTCCAGACAATAATTTCAGAATGGACCAGTTCAAGAGACTCTAAAAGTTTCTACCAAGTCTTTGAAATATTTATGTGCTGTGCAATATTGATGGGCAGACTAGATATGTACGGCGACTTCCTGAAGTCTATTTTGATCCTGAGTTTGTAGTTCACCAGGCAACAGACATGATGCCATATGCCTTCTATAATTAATACCTTTCAGCTTTCCTAAAATATTAATACTTGTCAAAAGGCAAGCTTTTATTTTAGTTTGGGTGAAGCACCACACTGCTTGATTTAGCTGAGCACTTTTCAGTTTTTGCTTGCTTGGTTTTCACTTGCATATTTTGTTTAATCATTACATTTTGAATTTTGTTGTGCAAAGAATTAATCACTTGCTTCAATGTTTTGTTGATGTTTGTTTCTTTGCGTTTTATGTTCATTTGGCTTCCTTTTCCTTGTCTTTATTTTTTTTATTTATTTGTGCCGACCCACTTTGTTTTCTTTCCAGTTTCATGTCATTGCCATAGCGATACTCACATGCACTTTGCTCGGCCATCATTGGAGCATGCTGACAGGTAGGTGCAGCCTGAACGTTTGCGAATCGGTGAAGTCCTGTCTGACATTACAGACACTCTCATTTTGTTTATTCATCTTTACAGCAGTTTGATCCCTTCTGTTGTATTTTGCAAGAGCTGTCCCACATTTTCCTGATAGCCTGCACTTTTATAAGAATTAAAGATTAGAAATATAGTTTACAAATGGCAGCTTTATTGCTTTGATGTTTGGGTAGCATGAATAAGTAACTAAGGTTTATGTATGTAACATATCTTACAGGTAAAAGCACAAAATATTTTGAAAAGAAAACAAATAAAAGTGGGTCTCGAGAAGCCATATAAGATAAAACCCACTATAAAATATTCAATTAACTTCTGAGACGATTCTGCCCTTGCAGAATCATCAAAGTCTTAAAAAGCGAAGGCTAAAATTTTAAAACGAACTTTCAGAGCCACTGCAAAAAGGCTATGGTAGGTATTTTGTTCTGTCTTTATTTTGTGGAAGTTAAAACCTATCAACCTCATTCTTTTTTAAATGCAATAAAGTGTAAAGACTTAAATGTGTAAAATGTAATCTGCTCTTCCAGTTTTGGGACAAGATTTCACAGCTTACAAATGTTTCTTGGTTATTTTGAATCTACGAGTCAAAACAACCAAGGTTTTCATAGCATAGCTCTCCAGTTAAGCCCAGTTTGTCAAGAGGTTTCTTGATTGCAGATTGACAGTATTTAGGGGCAATAACAAGGCTTCCTGTCTCTTTAAATTCAACAATTTTTATAGTAAGTGTTTAAAAAAAGACAAAACTAACAGAAACGTAGGGACTTACTAGTTTTAGTCTGTTGTGTGTGTTAAGTCAATCTGATGCTTTGGTTTTTTATATTTTATATTTGTTTGTGATTCCAGTTGTGAAAGTGATTTATGAATGATGTGACATACATAATGATTCTTACCCATTGTGAACAGCTTGATTCTGGTCAAGGCATCCATCAAAAATGAAGGAAAGATGTGGTACTTAGTGGACTTCAGACAAAGGAGCAATAAAGCTGCTTATTGTCAGCATGAAAAATATCCAAAACATTATTATTTCTTCGTGAGTCAAGCTATATTAGACAATAAAAAGATTACATCTTTCAGATTCAGACTTGATCTTGTCGTCTTCGTCCTTTGCCTGAAAGGTATGAATGAAACCCATTTAGACAGGATATAGTAACCATGTCATGGAGCCGGTCAGTTAAGTCAACCGTGTCCAAAACGACTGCAAGACCAAAACTGACATTTCTGGCTCAGACCTGTTTTTTCTCTTTAACAGTATCATAGAAAGCAAGTTTGTAAGACCCGGGAAAAAAAAGCTGTGCTATCGAATTCATACAGGATGAGGGAAAAAACTGCAAGGACAGACTTGAAAACAACGTTTTTCTGTGTTTGAGATTATTCTTCTTGTTCTGTTTTTGCATAGGCTCGAGGAGAGACCTCCAACTCGCTCTGGTTTGGTAAAGGAGGGTCAGTAATTCCTAATTATTTTCTCTGTCATGTAAAATATTGTACACACAGAATTCATATACTATCTTGACTAGTTTGATCATTTTTTTCTATAAAACAAAATGAGTACAGAAATTAGTCAGTTTCCAAAATATATAATTTTGTATGTTTCTATAATTAATAAAAAAGATTTAATTGGTAAAATTTTGTGTATTTTTTTTTCTTTTTAAATTGCTTGCTTTTTCTTTAATATTTCACATGCAACCTCAGGTTCAACATTTTAAGCACCAGTATTTTACTATTTTCATTACGTATTGTAAAATAACATTCAAACATACACAGGACATTTCTGTGACTGTGGTTTTTGGTCTTTAGACAATTCTGAATAAACATTTAAACCAGTGAAACTATTCTTGTCATGCTGGGTCTAGTTTAACATTTAAACTGCTGTTATTGAAATGCTTGCAAAAATGAAAGCCTGGCCAAATTTCAAATGACAGTTGATCTAATTTAGTACAGATGATAAAAATCAGCAACATACTCCTTTACCACACTGTGAAATCCAAAGCCAGCTTCAGTGTTGGATTGTTTCAGACAATAAATCCCAAACTCTGTACAATCAGTTCAGGACAATTTTATCATATTCAAAGGTTTATTAAAAAATGCAAAATGTATGAAATTTTGAAATGGAAACTGTGTAGGAATCTTTTATATATCGCAAAGCTACTCCAGTTCTATCTGCAGGGCTTTTTACACTTTAGGCGGAGCAAGTTGTGAAAACTGCAGATGCCTTCTGAAGAATTGACAAGTAAGCCCCCAAAAAAGCAATCATATAAAGGAGTGTGGAGAGCTGTGATTAGTATTTAGAGGAGGAGGCTGGGGTAATTACATTTTCCAGTTAAGTCCTTGAGAAGTCCTCATGTTACATAGCATTAGAAGCAGTGATTAAAAATAGATACATTAGCTTCTCAGGCTCAAAAACTATTTCATGGCTACATTGTTTTTGTAGTTTTTCTGGAGCTAGAAAGAGCTATTACCAGTTTAATAAATATATATTGATGTGACATTGTGTTTTTACAGAATGGGAGGTGCGCTCTATAGTATTGACAGCATGCCTGACCTTCGCAAGAGAAAAGCAATTCCTCTCGTCAGAGATCTGGTGAGAAACGACAAGAAAGCAACAACACAAAGCATTACTGTATATATGCCACACTTGTATTGATTAAAATCTTGAAGCAGATGGTAATCAGTCTTTCTTAGTATTTAAAGATTGTATATCAACACAATTTAAAAAAATATCTAATTTCTTTTATTTCTTGTCTCTCCATCTGGGGTTAAAATTGACGTGTTAATTCACAAAGAAAATCAACCATTTCTGGGACTTTAAAATTTAAAATTAAATGAGAAAAACAAACAGAAAAAAGACAAACACACCCAAGCTCTACTATTAATCTCCACAGATCCTCCTTACAAATTCATCAGCTCCTGGGGTTGCCTCTTTGGCATTTTGCTCCATGTTGTTGTTGTACTGAAAGTTGTACCTTTCTCTCTGTCCTGATTTTGCACAGAACTGAAACAAGTTTTAATGAAAGATTTATTCACTATTAGTTACATATTTGATATCGTGTCTTCTGACAAAATCCCAGAATCTGTTAAAGAATAATCGATCCTCACACAACGCTCCTGCTACACCCTGCCTTAGTGTTGCAATTGTGTTTAAAAGTGATGAGAATTTTGCAGCACAAACATATTTTAAAACAATTATTTCCTTTTGTTTTTCTGTCTGTTTCATTATGGCATGGGCTCATTAGGCTATGGTGAGTATTTAATCATCATTTAATATCATCCAGAAAATCTAAACTGTTGTAAATATTCAGATGTGAGTGTGTGTCATTTTGTCGTTCTCTTGTCTCCAGTCTCTGGTGCAGAACTCTCGCAAAGCTGGAATCACCTCGGCCATGGCTTCAACCACTCTTGGCAATGAGGAGCTGGTGGGTTTTCTCTCCTCACAGCTGTTTGTCACAGTTCTCAAGATTTTCCAGGAAATTATCACTGCAGGAATAAAACTTGCATCTCTCTCCTCCCATCATTGTGCCTGCAGAAGAGCCACGTGTATAAGAAGACCCTGCAGGCTTTAATTTACCCGATCTCCTCCACCACTCCACATAACTTTGAAGTGTGGACTGCCACCACCCCCACATACTGCTACGAATGCGAGGGGCTGCTGTGGGGGATCGCGCGGCAGGGCATGCGCTGCTCCGAGTGCGGCGTTAAATGCCACGAAAAGTGCCAGGATCTGCTTAATGCCGACTGTCTGCAGAGTAAGATCACACAGATATTTGCACATAAGCGTTTGCATCTTTAATTATGTCCTCCACCCAAACTCTGCTTCCTGGTGCCAGATTGACATCCCATTATTCTTGTCCTCTATCCACTCTCACATTCTCCTCCCTCTTCCTTTCCAATTTGTCTGCTGAGTAATGTGCTGTCACAACCCGGCCTCCTTTTTCCTCTTTTGTCTCCCCACAGACTTATCATACAAACTGTTTTTTTCTAATTTTGTTCCACAACGAGAGACTTTTAAGCTGCTGCCTTGATTTTACCATCTTTTATGATATGCTTATTGAATTTCTCCTGGTTCCAAAGGGCTTATTTTAAAATATGTTGCCCAAATTGTGGCGCTATTTACATCCACTCAATAATCAGATCTAGTGGTTAAGTGGGATAATTAGATGGTTTTGGTTTTGGAAACAGCCAAAAGCTGCCAAAGACATTGAAATTCGATCTGTTGCTATTTAAAGTGTGGAGCTTTAAAGAGAGTTATTGCCTGGAATGAGGTTCAGTGCAAGAAATATTCACAATTGCAACTTGTCTTCCTGCATTGCAATGCTTTTGCCACATCAGGAGCCGCAGAAAAGAGCTCCAAGCACGGCGCAGAGGATCGGACACAGAACATCATAATGGTACTGAAGGACCGCATGAAGATCAGAGAGAGGAATAAACCAGAAATCTTTGAGCTAATCCAAGAAGTGTTTGGATTGGACAAGACGATGCACAGCACACAGATGAAACAGATCAAACAGAGCGTGCTCGACGGGACCTCCAAGTGGTCAGCAAAGATTAGCATTACAGGTTTGTTTCAGACTCATTTGGTAAAGAAGGTCACAGAAACCTGCATCTATCCGAACAGGTGCTCCAGGTTTTAAGTCTTACCACAATGTTTCAGTTGAACTGCAATCACTTACTTAACAACTATTTAGGATCCAGTAGCTGCTATTATTACTGCTACTACTTTGTGCATTTAATTTTGGGGCATCAAAATGTAGATGACTGAATCTGCATGCATGCCACACATGTCAGATTTTTATCGGTGGAAAACAATTCAACGTTATGTTTCCACTTGACAAATGTGCAATACTTTATGTTAGTTTCAGTTGTGTTATTGCCTTAGGGGAGATGTGAAAAGCCACTAAAATAATACAGCAAAATATCACTTGATTGTTGTTTTATAGTAAAACGTATTCTATACTGTCAGTGTTTTTAGCTTTGTCTTTATGATCTCTTTCTTTAGTGGCTTGTGCTCAAGGTCTTCAGGCTAAAGACAAAACAGGCTCCAGTGACCCTTATGTAACTGTCCAAGTTGGAAAGACAAAGAAAAGGACCAAAACCATTTATGGCAACCTGAACCCAGTTTGGGAAGAGAGCTTTCACTTGTGAGTACTGCAGCGAACTATGACAGATTTAGACATCATTTTATGCTCACTTTAAAAAGCATCGTTTAATTAAGTTTTATTTTTGCTAGCATTTGAATTCAAGATTCCTAATTTTTGATGTCTGTGTTGCTTCGGTCTCGTCCAGTGAGTGCCACAACTCTTCTGACCGGATCAAGGTCCGCGTCTGGGATGAAGATGACGACATCAAGTCCCGTGTAAAACAGAGGTTCAAACGTGAGAGCGATGACTTCCTGGGTCAGACCATCATCGAAGTGCGCACTCTGAGCGGGGAGATGGATGTTTGGTACAACCTGGGTGAGTTCTGCACAATAACGGATTAGAAATGGATGACAGGAGCAGTGAGTCAGATAAGAGCCAGAGAAACATATAGCTGAAAAGCTTGTCTGTTGTAAATCCAGGAGATTTCACCCTACTAATGAAGTGTGTGCATCTCATATTTATGTAACAGATAAGAGAACAGATAAGTCTGCTGTGTCGGGGGCCATCCGGATGCACATAAGTGTGGAAATCAAAGGAGAAGAGACTGTAGCTCCTTACCATGTGCAGTACACCTGTCTGCACGAGGTCAGCGTGATGGAGAAATAGTTTTATCATCTCGATTGTTTCAGCTACACCATTAAGCATGCAACAATAACACATTTTTTACTAACACAACAGCTGCTACTAATATTGTTAAAAAGAAAATCTTAAGACATTAAAATGTATTAACTTTTTTATTTGTCTGTGTTCAGCACTTATTCCAGTACACCACTGAGGACCAAAACGGAGGTGTAGTAAAGATCCCAGAAGCCAAAGGTGATGATGCCTGGAAGGTGTACTTTGATGAAACTGCACAGGAGATCGTGGATGAGTTTGCCATGAGATACGGAGTAGAATCCATCTACCAGGCCATGACGTCAGTACCTAACTTATTAATACATTGAGCCATATGTTTAATTTACTAGATATCTAAGAATAAAACGTGGGGAAAGAAGAGAAAATATTACTAAATGGCCTTGTTACAATTTTCAGCCACTTTGCCTGCTTGTCGTCTAAGTACATGTGCCCAGGAGTGCCAGCTGTGATGAGCACTCTCCTCGCCAACATCAACGCCTACTACGCCCACACCACCCAATCTTCCAACAATGTTTCTGCCTCGGACAGATTCGCTGCATCAAACTTTGGTGTAAGTCCCATAAAAAAAAAAAGAAAAAAAACTTTGATAGAAGATATGTGATAAATAGATAATGATGCTTTTAAAAACTGGAGCTGCACATGGTCAACTACATGTACTGTGCTGCTCTTGACTTGGTTAAACTATGTTTAATTATATGTTGGCTCATAAACCAATGTGATAAACTGTTTGTCAAATATCAATTAGTCTCAATTCCACTGAATAATCTCTGCAGCATAAGAAGAAGCAAGGAAATTACAGTATATTTATCTGAATTTATTTTTTTAAGTATTTTGAGTGTCTGGTAATCAACAATTAATTCATAGATGAAAAAAAGCAAGAATGACCAAGATATACATCTATCTATTTACCAAAGATTAACACAAAAAATAAAATACAAAAAAATTGCATCAAAAAATAAAATGATACTTTACACTTTCATTCTACATACTAGAGCTAAAACAGAAGATTCTTGATAAGGAAACTGGATTATTTTTTTTATTATTAAAGAGCCTATATTTATTAATACTGTTATGAGTGATTAAAGAACAGGGTTTTACAGTCTAATTTTTAACCTTTGAGTGAGAAAAAGTTCAAATCCACCTTTAGAACCTACCTTAATCTGTCAGCTTTCAACCCCCAAAGCGACACCATGAGAACAGAGGCAGCTATACTTTGTGCTATTTCATCATCTCATTCTGAACACAAGTTTGTGGGTTTGTTCATGCTGTTCCCACCTTCATCTCTGAGATCACTCTGAGACCGGCAGGCGGACTGTTCTGACCCAGGTCACCAGACGGCTTGGGAGGGACTTCACTTTGGATCATTTGGAGAGCTAAAAATGTACTAAGTAACCTTTAGCACCTGCCCATGGCATTGAAGAAACAGAAAACCTTGAAAGAGCTTGTGGCATAATGTACGATCCAAACAAGAATACAGTTTCCACAAACAAATGAGAAAAGTCAATCAGATCTCTTCATGACTCTGAAGGGAAACTTTTCTCTCTCAATCTGAATTCAGCTCCACTGGACGTTGTGTAGGTGTCATGATGGCGCAGACTGGGTAATCAGATGAGATTTAGGCGAACATACCATTGGACAGCTAAAGAAAATTTTGATTCTTGTACAGTCTCTATAAATTTAAAGAGACCAAAATGTCAAAAAGGATTAGACATTGGATATAACTCATTGCAACAGTGATGCAGACTCTGACTCAATTTATAAACGCCAAAGCTCAATTATCTTGTTGTTAATTGGGACATTAATTTAGAGGAACATAAAAAGCAAAAGTGAGAACAGCTCAAGTGCAGCACTAAGAAAATTTACGAGAATCAAAACTGAGGTGTTCATGTGCACTGAAACGATGTGAGACCTAATAAACCCAGGCCTGGCTTTGTGCTTTCAGACAGTAACAGCTGCTCTGTTTTTCTCTGCAGAAAGAACGGTTTGTCAAACTGCTGGATCAGCTTCACAACTCCCTGAGGATCGACCTGTCCATGTATCGGGTACTGACTGCTGATTCTAATTTACATGCTGCTTTAAGCAGCCTCACGAGTGCAGTTGATTATCTGTCTCCCGCTGACTGCCTTTGCATGGGCTATTTTTAGGCATTCCTGTGTGTTTTTAGACTGTGATGAAAGCGTTGTGGATATTTATGCTGATGCTGCAGTTTCTTACGGCCTTTCTGTTTGTCTGCGCTCCAAGAATAACTTCCCCGCCAGCAGTCCTGAAAGACTGCAAGACCTTAAGTCTACTGTCGACCTGCTGACGAGCATCACATTTTTCAGGATGAAGGTGAGCACACACACATCTGAAAGTTGATATTTTTACACCTTTTGAAAATATTACCTTCTAATTAAACATGACAGATCGAATAATTTTTAGAGATTAGCCTGGAGATATATTCTGAATCAGTATAAGTTTACCAAGCATGAAACTGGATCTCTACATGTCAGTTGTTTCATTGAGATAGCTACTGTGAGGTAGCCTCCTGCCGAAGCACTGTGAGTTTGACAGCTACTTCATGGCATTGTTTTGACTCCACCATATGGTTATTCTTGTTTGTGTTCAGGTCCAGGAGTTGCAGAGTCCCCCCAGGGCAAGTCAGGTGGTGAAGGACTGTGTAAAAGCCTGTCTCAACTCTACCTACGAGTACATCTTCAACAACTGCCACGACCTGTACAACAGGGAATATCAGACAGACCCGGTGAGTTTATACGTATGAAGCAGGTCCATACTGCCCGATCAGCGCTCATGCACATCCTTGTCCATATTCTTCCCTTGTTGTCTTTATAAACTCCTTATGTGTGTCAACTTTCTCATTCATCTTTCTGTTTGCAGTCGAAAGCCGTTCCTCCAGATGAACAGGGTCCCAGCATCAAAAATCTGGACTTCTGGTCAAAACTCATCACACTGATTGTTTCCATAATAGAGGAAGATAAGAACTCTTACACTCCTTGCCTTAATCAGTGAGTGTGTTTCCATTGCATCTATTGTAGTTGTACTGTGAAAAGTGTTATTAGATCGCAGCTTTATTGGAAACTGTTCACAACAGTGAACCTGCCTTAGTTTAGCTTTTTGAAAAGGAAACCAGTAAAAAAGAAGGCATTTATTTTAATATTTATGATGATTAAAAGAAAAGAGCCCATGGGCATTGTTTTGAGAAACAATGAGGATAATTGCAGCTTGTTTATTTCCTTATTCCTCAAGAGATTTTAGAGTTCTGTGGTTTCTAGACATAGGCAGAAAAAGTGCTGATGGATATAAATGAGCCTCTTGTTCAGTAACACAGCACCATTACTGGATTTCAAGACTAAAATAGACACAACTGGCTTCATTGTCTCTTATAGGTTTCCCCAAGAACTCAATGTGGGTAAGATCAGTGCAGAAGTCATGTGGAACATGTTTGCACAAGATATGAAATACGCCATGGAAGGTAAGTTGTAAATATCACAGAATAATATTTATCTCTTTGTTTCTTAAATCAAAGAAACACGGACATATTAATAATACAGTGGCTTGTAAATTACTTTGCCTTTGAAGTTGAACAACCACTATCTTCAATGTATTTTATTGGGATTTTATGTGATAAACCAAGAGAAAGTTGTGCGCAATTGGGAAAGTGACATCAAAGTTTTAACACATTTGTATGCATTATAATCTTATAATCATCAAGTAAAAATCTGAAAGATGTGGCGTAAATTTTTGCTGCAAGTATAACTGCAAATCTTTTGAGTTACGATTCAAATTTACCCATTTCTTGTGGGAGACTTTCTTTCACTTTTGCCAGGTTATTATTGTAAATAGAAATTTGTTCTTAATAACCCCCCTGGTTAAATAAAGGTTTAATAAGTAAAAAACTTGAAATAAAACATCTTTTGGGTTTCTTCTTGACTCGCTTCCATTAAGGCCAGACAAATAATTGTCCTGTTAACAGATTTTTCCATGTGAGTTGTGGATCTCTGCGGCTCCTTCAGAGTCGCGCATTTACTAATTTGTTGAATTTTGAAAGCAATTAATGGTCATGAGTTTTATTTAGCAGTATCAAAATAGATCAAATTAAGGATAGTATTCATATTTTATCCATCAATTAGCATATATGCTTGTACCTACTCGGGTCGCAAGGGTGCTGTTGCCTATCTCCAGCGGTGCTATTTATATGTTATCTATAAAAATCTTGAATAACATTTTACATTTTTCTTCCATTTCACAGTTGTACACTGCTTTATCGCACAAAATCCCTATCAAGTACATTGATGTTTGACTGTAGCAGGAGAATGTGTAAAAAAGCCAGTGGGGTGTAAAATAAATTTACCAGACAATGTTTGTGTGAAAAGAAACAAAGAAAGTGTGAGCTTCTCCTTATTTTGTCTCCCTGTGTGATATTTAGAGCATGAGAAGAACCGCCTGTGTAAAAGTGCAGACTACATGAATTTGCACTTCAAGGTGAAGTGGCTTTATAATGAGTACTGCAAGGAGTTGCCCACTTTCCAGAAGCACGTACCCGAATATCCAGCGTGAGTGTTTTCTATGTTGCAAGACGCCTCTCCTGTCCTATTTACCGCCCTGACGGGAAGATTTATCTTGCGCCGGTTTGCTCTTCGCTGTGCAGCTGGTTCGAGCCATTCGTCGACATGTGGTTGGACGAAAACGAGGAAGTTTCCAGAGATTTTCTTCATGGCGCACTGGAGAGAGACAAGAAAGATGGGGTAAGTTTTTCACCTTAAAAAAACACAGGGTTATGACATTTCTAGGTAATCAAACTCTAGTTTGTTCGAATAGAAAGTATGGTTTGTTTGGGGAGGTGAAAACTTAGGCCTCTGCACAATTAAGGTGAGCTTTGGCATGATTAAACTTAATATGTGGATGCAAGTGAACCTTAGACAGCTTCATAAAAAGGAACTGAACTATAGGGAATTCTGGGTAAATACAACCAAAATAAAAACTCAAGCTAGAGAGAAGTGGCTCATTGTCTTTTTACTAAAGAGACTAAAAAGAAATCCTACAACTGGTAAACTCCATTTATGATTATATTTTTGAAGAAGGAAGTTGTGCTGGGCATCTTCTTCTGGAAAGAGGACTCTCAAAGGGTTTGGTTTGTGTGGTGACAACAAACCGCAGCTGAAAATTTAACAATTGTTCCAATTTTGGTCCCCAATCGAACCCAGTCTACCGGTGAAAATACCCTATAATTCACATTTAAAAGCCTAAGCAAGTATTGGAAAGTAATATGTAAGTAATTTAAATTGAATTCTGCTGAGGCAGCAACTTGGATGTGATCTCCAAGATAAGCTCCCCTAAAAGTAAGTAGTAAAATATTCATGGTTTTCTCTTATGCAAATTAAATTCTGCTACTCCGCACATTTCAGGCTGTGAGCAGCAGATTGGAGGCCTCAATGCAATCGATGATGACAAGATAGCAAAAGCTTGTGGAAAACACTTCACTGTGGAGCACAGCAGATGCTTCAGTGCGAGTTAGTGTAAACACACATGTACGATGGAATGGCTCACGCTTGCCGTCTCACACCTACGTACCCACACAGCAAGAAGATCGATACGAAGCAGCTGAAGAGTCTCCCATATCATATGTCATAGATCCTTTGGGTCCAATTACTGTTGCCCAAGGCAGCTTCTGCTTTCCTGCGTCAGCGAGATGGAGGTCCCTGGGCTCAGTTGCGTACCTTAACGCTATTCAGCTCTGGGCTAATGGCTGGGCTGCTAATGAGGGTACTTTTCCCGATCATAGCCCTTTGATTACCCAAACATCCCTCCGTTTCCAAACACTTTCAGAGAATCCGACCCACAAGTGTTTTGATTCCAGTCACAGCCAGTGAGCAGGACATAGTTTCATTGTTTCTGCATTCGATGGAGGCCCTCGTGGGGAATAAAACCTCTCACTTATAGTGTTGGGAAAACACTATAAGTGTTTTCTGATTGCATCTGCATCGCAAATCAACTCCCTTAACCACCACCACCACCAACCTGTGCCTCTTGATCTCCAGTTCCAGGTCACGTCGGAGCACGCTTTGTTCTCCTGTTCGGTTGTGGACGTGTTCTCCCAGCTCAATCAGAGCTTTGAAATCATTCGCAAGTTGGAATGTCCCGACCCTCAGATTGTCGGCAACTACATGAAGAGATTCGCCAAGGTGACTTTTTTCTCCATCTGCTCTTTCTGAACATTTCTACGTCAGTTTTTAATGTACCATGCCTTCATGTGGTTTCCTTCTTTCAGACTATCGGCAATGTCCTGCTTTCTTATGCAGACATCATAGCGAAAGACTTTCCAAATCATGTCAAGAAAGAGAAAGTGGTAAGGACATAAATATATAGACATCTGATTTAAGTTTGTGTAATTGTAGCTGTATTTTTAAGATGTTTGTGGTCATGTTAATTTATTTAGGTACGTTAAACCACTCTTCATTTCAAGTGCTGAGACTTAGAGTGAATTAAGGCTGCTGTGTAATTAGCTCAAAGTGGTACACACTTGGAGGGGAAAGTAAACTACACTCCCACAGAGACCAGAACCCCCCAAGAGAAGCAGTAATTACAGAAACCACAGCTTCTTCTGCCCCAAGACTCTATGTGGTTTTGCAAAAGAAGCTGCATTTAGATGACTGTTAAAGGGACCTCAATATGATTGATTTCAGCACATAGGTAGGAGAAGATGTGGAAATGGAAAAGAGAAACTATGGAAGCGAAGTAAGAGATGTGTGTGGGTGTGTGTGTGTTTTTAGGTCTTTGTGTGATGATTTTCTTTTTTCCCTCCTTTCAGCCATGTATCATAATCAATAACATCCAGCAGCTTCGGGTTCAGCTGGAGAAGATGTTTGAAGCCATGGGAGGGAAAGATGTAAGTTTTCCATCTACAGTGTCTTGCAAAAATATTCAATGATGTTGAACTTTCCCACATTTTAACCACATTACAACCAAAAAATATTTTGTAATTTATTTTTTATAGGGATTTCATGTGCTAGACCAACACATTATTGAGGAATTGATACATAGTAATACATGGCTTTAAATTTATTTACAAATAATATCTGCTCCTTTACTGGGATACCGATAAATAAAATCCAGATTAAACAATTGCCTCCAGTAGTCAGATAATCATTAAATATTCAGTTAATTCAGCATAAATCCAGAGATCCAAGATAGGGTGGGTTACTACCCACTCAGAGCCTCAAAGTTCTGCAGAGAACCGCTGACGAGCCATCATTTGATCCAGTATGTTAAAACAGAGAAGGATTTCGGCCCTCAAGGACTCACTTTGGACACTCCTGAACTATTTGAAGTCTCAACCATTCCTTTACTTCCACATCACAGTCATCCACTGCTTCGTGTTTGTCGATTACACCAAAACCCTAATAAATACACTGAAGTTTTTGGTTGTGATGTGACAAAATCAAAAATGTTTCAGAGATATGAATACTTCTGCTAGGCACTGTGTATGTGATTTCCTGTAAATGATATGTTGAACGTCTATGTCTTTGCTGAAGCTCAACTTGGAGGCAAGTGACTTCCTGAAGGAGCTCCAGAACAAACTTAACAGCGTCATGGATGACCTCAGCCGTATCTTTGCTGTCAGGTGGGTATTTCTGTTTCTTTCTACATAAAACCAGTCAGAAAATTTTTTTCTGCCACTAACTTCAAAGTGTGTGCTCACGTTTATTTTTCTCTGGGGTGTCATGATAGCTTCCAGCCCCAGATTGAAGATAACGTGAGGCAGATGGGGGACATCCTAGCCCAGGTGAAAGGTCAGACAGTCCCTGCAAATGGAAGTGTGGTTCAGGAGGCTGACAACGTCCTGCAACCAATCATGGACTTCCTGGACAGCAAGTGAGCAAGACTGGATGTTACTGTTTTAAACAAATAAGAGGCTCCGACAGCAGAAGCTTTATGTTCAACCTAATATTTTTCATCTTAAAGAAGATAATAAAATAATTAACCATGTTAACTACTTGTGCTAGCAAGCCAAATTTATAGGATTTGTGATTTCCAGTCGCCGACCTGACAGAATAACTCAAAGGGCAGCAGGTGGCCTCTGTGCCATAATTGAACACTCCTGTCCTAAAAGAACCACCTGTCATATTATCTCATTTACATTTAAAACATATAAGTATGTGTGTGTCAACAGTTCTGACTCCCTTTTAAGAAAAATATACATACAGTTATAGGGTTTTGGATTGCACTATGTTGTTCTGTTATGAACAAAAAGTGCAAATAAGAAAGGTCCAAGAAGAGAACCCTGTGGAACTATGGCAAAGCAGTTTGGGCAAAAAAAATAAAATAAAATCCCATCAACAAAAATACAAGATGTCACAAAAAAGATGATACGATCTTCTTTTTTAGCTACAAACTGTGCCTTTATTGATATACAAGATGATATATATCTGAGGATGCAACGTTTATGGCTTTCCAAAATTATTTAAAATGTTAACTTATCTGTTTGCAAGAGTAGAGTAAAGGGATCGCTGCAGCGTTTCGGGATGTTTTTTATTTATTGACTTTATGACGTTAAGTTTGAACTTGCCATTCTGAAAGGAAAATGAATCTTTGCTGACTGTTCGTAGGATGGGCTGCTGAGTTCAGGCAGTAATTTTCACAACAGAGTGGCGTCTGTTTTTTTATACAGTGTTGCCTCGGGGCGCAAAGTTCAATCATTCATTGTTGATTGTCAGTCTTTTTTCTACTGTCTACACAGAGATCTTCCAGCACTCATTTTGTGTAATCTCTTTCTTTATGTAAGATTTTATTCTTGTAGCAGTTGGAAGGGTTTTCATATCTTTTTATTAATACCCCAAACACTTTCCGAGCTCGTTTCCTCAGACATGCTACAGAAATAGAAATACAGATCTCTGACGTGTTTTGCTCCAGTGAGTTGACAGATCGTGTGTTGTTGTGATTTAGCTTGTCGCTGTTTGCAAAGATCTGTGAGAAGACAGTCCTGAAGAGAGTGCTGAAGGAACTGTGGAAACTTGTGATGAACACGATGGAAAAAACTATTGTGCTTCCAACACTGACAGACCAGACGGTATGTAAGAAACACACACACACACATGCACACACTTTCTATCTCTTCACCAGGACTTTGCATTGACTTCCACCTTTCATTTATTTCAATAGCCTGACCCTTACCCTAAACCAGTGCTTCTCAATTATTTTCCGTTACGCCCCCCCTAGCAAGAAGAAAACTATTCGCGCCCCCCACTCCTCACCGTGACTATCCATCTCTGCATAACATTTTTTCGCTGAAAAAACTCTAGCGGCTTATCGGCGTGATTGGGATGTAACGTATTTAAGTGACGCGCTAATTTATTTGGCTTCATGCTGTCCGCTGCGAGCATTTTTAGACACAGCAAACACACCGGTCTTTCCTCTTCTCCAACTGTAGTCACAGTGAAGCCAAGCTAAATACGCTTCGTCGTATTTCCTCTTCTTAGCTTTCGGTTGACTTTCTGTTGTCTCATTATCTTTGTCTCTCTCCGCTTTTCTTTTCATCCCTGTGAAAAACTTTTTCATGTTGGGGGTTGTTGAATAACGGAGGCCATAGACAGAACGCAGTCGGAGGTTTTTGTTGACTTAACACTGCTAACCAAGGCAAACCTGTTGTCTTGTAAGTCGTAAAATGTTGCACTGTCGCAAACGTGACAGAAGTAACAATGAGAGCGCCACTGCCGCCTATTGTGCGCAATTACACTTTATACTAGTTCGGCCAAAAAAAAAGCCTGTTCCCAGGATCACACGCGCCCCCCCAGGTATCGCACCGCGCCCCCCAAAGGGAGCCCGCCCCACTATTTGAGAAGCACTGCCCTAAACCTAAACATCACCAGTAGATGCCTAATCCTAAAACTGACCTAAACTAAATTCACACTTCAGTCTTAAACCTTACCACTAAGCAAAAACAACATTTCTGTGGGAATAGTGGGTCCTCACAAAACAGTATTTGTTGGAAAATGGGCCCTAAAATGTATCAAATACAACGCCACGAACACACACACAGGCACACAAGCAATTACATCATCTTTTCCATCTTGATGCTCTGCACGTCTTAAATTCAGTGCATCTATATCAGTACATGTACATTAGTGAATTCAACTATGATTGTACGGTAAACTATCTATCCTGTCATTTTCTCATTTTGCTTCTACTCTTCTACTCTTCTCTCAGGTCATTATAAGTATGTGTGAATAGCTTTTAAACACATGAAGGAATACTGCTTTTAACATGAACCCTCTGCCAGCACGTGTGACGTCTGTCACAGTTGGCAACCACTCTTATCTATTCTCTCACTGTGGTCTCTCTCTTTTCAGGGAACCCAGATGATCTTCAATGCTGCTAAGGAGTTGGGTCAACTCTCCAAACTCAAGGTAACTCATGCAGATGGCAGCGAAACCAGTGAAATACCAGTGAATTTTTTTATATTAATACATGTTAACTCTTTTGCAATTTTTGTTTTGCAGGAACACATGGGCCGGGAGGAGGCCAAAGCTCTGACTCCCAAACAGTGTGCAGTCATAGAGCTGGCGCTAGATACTATTAAGGTATGACACCTGTTGGGTGTTTTGAGGTCACCACCATTAAATGACAGTTAAGGGCAATTTTATATCTCTTATTTTGAATAATTTTAACCTATTCTAGGTTCGCTTGTCGGACACTACTAACCTGCCTTTAACACATTTCTGTCAAGCTTTTCTGCTTTTTGACCATCACATGTCATGTATTATTTATATCAAGATTCGAGGCGAAGTCACTAGTTACAATAACATTTTGTGCGTAAGGCTAGTTACCATAACATTTTGTATGCAGGAAAATAGGATATGACCGACCCAAGCAGTCATTCCCGTTCCTGAGTATTTTCATCTGATACCGTACAGATGTGGATTGAAGCTGTAGGTATTTTTTTTTTCAAATTAGTTTTTTTAAATTGTACAGTCATATGACTCACATTACATTGTACAAATAAAAAAGGCGGTACAACTTTCTTTCTAATATTAAGGTTTATAAGTAAATAAGATTAAATAACCACCGCTTTTACAAATAATGCACATCAGAGTTGCAATTTTCATCAAAGGAACATCCAGAAAAAAATAGAATATGCACAAATATGAATAAATAAATAGTTGAAAAAAGAGAGAAATAAACAAATACTAATAAGCTGCAGGAATTTTGAATTAAAGTAACTCAATAAAATAATTCAACTTGTTGGGTGGGTGTACATTTTCAGAGCTAATGACTTAAAAATCAGATTTATGTAACAATGACTTTAGTCTGAGTTTTAAAACTCTTAAAACAGTTCATTTAAAAAAAGGCTTTTTTGTGACAACTCAGTATGACTACATCTTCTCAATTTAAACAAACCAAACAGAAGTGACTCCTGGGACATAAGACTCTCATTCTGAGTTTTTGATGTGTATTGCCTGCATGTTTGTCTCCGTGCTCAAGAACTGCAGCATCAGCTCTCGCTGCTTGTCAGATCTCTGTCACCTTTGATGGATCTTTTTCTCCACAAAACACAAGAATCCCCCAGAATGTCATTTTGTCTGTGACACTTGCTGAGCATTGATTTTTAGAGCCGAATTATCCCTCCCCTCCCTCCGCACTGCAAATCCCCTCAACGCAGACCCCTCTCTGTGTGTTGGAGCTTTCTCATTTGCAAAGGAGGCTCTGGGCTTTCCTCTCCTACAGTTTGTGTCTTTTCACAGACATTGTCTGTCTCAACTCAGCAACACACCCAACTCCTCAGAAGCGCGGCTGATTTGCATATTAATGCATTCCATATTACTGACTGCAGAAAAAGAATTACATCTAACAACTTTTAGTCGCCAAACTGATGTCAAGAAGCAGCTGCTGCAAAAGGCCTCCTTCTGCATCTTATCACCTTGCCACAAACTGAGCAATAAAAAAGACACTTGAACACATCACAAACATGACAGTCTCCCAGCAGGAAAGCCCATCTATACCTTCACATAAGAATGTCGCTTTTTGCAGAAGGGTGCAATAACACACATTTCAGTCATGTAAAATGTATTAAATTGTTATTAATTTAGTTTTAGTTAGTTTTTCTTCCAAATTCTGGACATAACAAAAATGTTAGATCAGTTGTAAACAAAACAAAAGTTATTTACATGGTTTGCTATCTATATCTCGTCCTCACCTAGAGGGAAACCTTAATGAACTCCTCAGTTCATAGCCCTCCTTCACTCTGCAGCTCATATTGTCTTGGATCTCATTTTGTGCTGTCCAGTAACCCGTGTGTGTGTTTTATCTGTTAACCAGCAATATTTCCATGCGGGTGGCGTTGGTCTGAAGAAGACGTTCCTAGAGAAAAGTCCCGATTTGCAGTCTCTGCGTTACGCCTTGTCCCTGTACACGCAGGCCACTGACAAGCTCATCAGGAAGTTTGTCCTCTCCCAGCATGCTCAGGGTACAACTTCAGAGAGCAACAACCCACACACAGACACTCACGTAGACATTTTGGCAGAGAACAGCTCATCAGTTTCTTCTTAAGACATTTTGAACTGCTGTCAAAGAGCTCTGTTGCTATAAGGAGTGAAAATGGATTGCTCACAGTGACATGGAAAATAATTTATTAAATAAAGCCCCGCTTGCTACCTTTGTTTTTACTGATTTCTGTCCAACTGATAAATACTTCTAACTGTCCTTTAAGGATTCCTGACATGTCTGGATTATGAACCCATGAGCTTGTGATCTGCTTTATTAATAACCGTGTGTGTGTTTACTGAGCTGTTGCCACTGTAACTCTTTGTAATCGTGTCTTTCCTTCCTTTCTCCCTTCAGTCCATGGAGGGAAAGGAATCAGATATTCTGCAAATGAAGACACCCCACCAGAAAAAGGTAGAGTATAATCCAAACTTATTTTCACACTCTGTGATCTAACGGCCAACCTGGTCAATCCCGTTGAAGCATTTTATTAGCTAAATGCATGTATTTGGAGTATAAATAGATATATGTTTACACTTCCTTGCAAAAGTATTTATGGTACCACCTGTTTGTAACTTAATCTCAGCATAAATCCAGTTGTTCTGTGAAGACCTCAGAGGTTTTAGTAGAGAACACAAGTGAACAAACAACATTATAAAAATCAAGGCATAAGCAGATGAAAGTTGTTTATATCAGGATTAAGTTATAAAACACCAACACAAGCGTTGGGCATCTTGCAGGTAATATGTGGTTGTCCACTTAAACTGACACCTCAAAGAATAAGAGTAGTAATATTTAAAGGAATGTGTCAGATTATTGTTCTTCACATATACTCTCCAACTAATCTGATTGAGATTGAAAGGAACAATGAACAAAAACTTCAGACTGTAGCTGTCCAAATCTGGTTGAGAAATACCACAAAAGATGTGCAACTGTAGTTGCAGCAAAAGGCGGTTATGAAAACGAGGGCTGAATGCAACAACATGCCACACTTTTTAGATTTTGATTTGTTAAAATCTGGAAAGCCATCATTTTTTTCTGCCTCACAATCACGCGTTACTTCACTGTGTTGATCTATTGTGAACATCTCAGCAAAATGCAGTAAAAAAATCCAAGACAATGTGTTTAAAACTGTATTTGTGGAGCAAATACACACTTCTGTTCAAAATAGATATGTTGTTCATTGCTGATGGTTCCTTTGCAGCCTCTGGGGTGGACGCGGTCGGTGAGGTGGTCATGAACGTGGACATTTTACCCCAGCCGAATGGAGAGCACAAGATCAGTATTAAAGGTTAGAGGCTGGGCGCTGTCCTGTATGTCAGTCGTTCTTTTTTCGTGCTTTTCCTTCTTTGCTCACGTCGTCTTTCCCTCCAGTGGTGGCTGCTAATGACCTGAAATGGAAAGCACAGGGTTTCAGGCCTTTTGTGGAAGTCTACATTATTGGGCCTCACCTCAGTGACAAAAAGAGGAAATTTGCCACTAAGTCCAAGAACAACACCTGGTCACCAAAGTTCAACGAGAGCTACCAGTAGTGAGTATCCGCTGGCTTTCATCATCTTGCTTTGGCTGGACACTGAAAAAATACAAAATCTAACGAAGTATTATTGGTACATTTTCTTGTGGAAATATCTTAGGACACTTGAAATGAGTCAAAACTAACTTATACTTAACTTTCAACAAGATACTGACATTGGGAGATTATAGCTTGTACTTTTTCATCAATATTGGCTTAAATTAAGCTCCTATTTCTTGCTATAAAGTTACTAGTAAGTTAGTTTGAAACTATGTCAAAAATACGTGGTAATATTTTGTGTATTTGCAGTGCAGATAAGACAATCCATGGCTGAACATGTGAGGGTGTTTGCTGTTTTTCAGCTCGCTTGGCACTGAAGTGGGTCCGGAGAGCTACGAGCTGCAGGTGTGTGTGAAGGACTACTGCTTCGCCAGGGAAGACCGCACTGTGGGAATGGCCGTGCTGCAGGTGAATGACATAGTAAACAAGGGCAGCGTCACCTGCTGGCTGCCGCTGGGACGACGGGTCCACATGGACGAGACGGGCCTGACGGTGCTGCGCATCCTCTCTCAGCGCAACAACGACGACGTGGCCAAAGAATTTGTGAAGCTCAAGTCCGACCAGCGTTCAGCGGAAGAGGGCCGCAGCTGAGGCGGAGGAGGGCAACCCAAAAAAATAATAACAAAAAAAAAACGTGTGCACAAAAACACCAGAAACACACCCAACGAGGCGTCGTGTTACGCACACATAACAGCCGCGCATACATAGAAAACCACGTGCAATATACAAGCACACATGTGAAACTGCTCTACTGTACATATATCTGCATACATTATGCAACATCTACATTGTAATGTTATCAAACACTGGGGAAGTGAGTTTATATTGAAGAAAAAAAACAAAGACTTTATTTAATTTTGAATATTTCTGCATCTGCACTAAGCTCTAAGTTTATCGTTACTTAATCTCCCAACACTCTTTCTGCTACATCACACCTTTTATATGCTGTACAATTAGTTGTGATGAAAAGCAGCACAGAACCAACAACTAAACTATGTGAATAGTTTGACCACTTTGCACTTTTCCTTCTCTGCATCTTCAGGAGAGCCGTCCTCGTCATTAACTCATTAACTCCGTCTCTCTGCCCGTCTGTTTGCTTGTGTGTCTGACCGCGTTGTTCGCCATCCACAGTCTTCCTAAAATACAATGTGGTATGTGAGACATTCCTGCCAAATAAATCTCCCCCACCCCCCACAAAAAAGAAAAAAAAGAAAGAGAACACAAATCAGTGTCGAGGGGCGACATGTCTCTTAGTCTTTAACGTAAATGTATTAATGTCCTGCATGTTGACCCCAGGAACACTGTGACTCACCTCTCTATAACCCACCACCCCCAATCCTCTGATACACTATCTGTTTTGAGCATGGTGCAATGGTGCATATAATCGTGTGACAGCAAGGTTCTGACTAATGCTCATTGTTGCAGAGAGGACACACTGGCAGGGAAACCGTTCTGAGCCACAGCTGTGATGCGTTGAGTGAAGCAGAGCCTGTGGCCAGATAGCGCATCAAGTTAAACGGAGCAATACCCCGGCCCCCCTCTCACTCTAGAGTGCACATTAACCCCCTCCTTAAAAAAATAAAAAAGGGCTATAAGATCTGTGGACTGGATTGTCATTTTCACTAAAACATACTGTCAGTGCTTCTTTTGGCCGACTGAACACAAGATTCATCTCAGCTACCGAGCGTTGCAGAAGTATTTATACACGTTGGACTTTTCAGCATTTTTTTTTAATACACCCACAATATTTAATGCATTATATTTGAATTTGATGTCACAGATCAACACAACTTAGCCAATAACTGTAAACTGGAAAGAGACGGAAATGAGTTTTCTGCAAAGACGTTTAGAAACCACGTATTCTTTTCCTACCACCTTAAAATTCTGCAGGCTTTTTCGTCGGTCCATCCTCCCAATAAATATGAAGGAGTTTGAGAATGCAAAGTGACAAAACAATTTCAAGAGGCTTAAATAGTTTTTCAAGGCGCAGTAGCTGCAGCAGAAACTCCCTCATAAGCAGAGCCCCATACCGAAACTCCATCCAATAAGGCAATACTAGCTTATGAATCCATGAAACCCTCTGCTGTGTCTTCTCTTCATGTGTACATGCATGTGTGTGAAAGCGTTGGCGTGTCAGTCCGGGCGGATTGTCACTCCCAACTGTATGGGCTCTCTGATAGTGAGCAATATCTACACGCCCAAACTGTATGCACTGTCAATATTAGAAAACTACAAGAGCACCAAGGGCACGATCCACATCAAAGGAATGGGAAACTTATGATCGCATCTTTTTTGTGAATCACTGGGATATTTTCTTTACGGACTCATAAATTCCCATTCCTGTTGGAAGTGTATAATCTTGTTTTTTTTCTTTTTTTCTTTACTTTTACTTTTTTATTTATTTTCTACATACTTGCCTAAGGAAAGTGTCTTGATTTTGCAATTTCTTTAGGAAGAGTAAATCTCCGAGAACCAGAGCACTTTTTTAAAAAAAAAAGAATGAAGCCATTAAAGTCACCGCCAAGCATTTATAAAGTTTAAGTATTATTTTAAGTCGTAATGGTTAATAAATCGTTACCTTTTTTTGCAAAAAAAAAAAAAAAAGCAGACACTCATAGCCATAATCAAGCTCGCCTTGCAGTCTCTTTGTATCTCTAAATGTCAGTGACAGTGACTAAAGCCGCCCACACATTGGCCTGTTACATGTTGTCTTTACTTTGAGGCTAAAATCTACCAAATATAAATCCTGTGAATGTCACTTATCCTCAGCAGAGCGCTTTCTCTGCTCTTGTGAAATCTCAAACCGTGACTTGCTTAGAGACACCGACTCATGCCTTTGATTTAAGCCAACCGATTTCACTTGACTCATAAGAATATAAACACCCTACTGGGTTTCTCTGTGAATCTTTGGCAAAGCTTAAAGGAGAACTCCACTGATTTTTACACATCAAAAACCTTCCTGATTACCATATGAGAAAATGTGTTACTTTGTTGCGTGAAGTAACGCAGACATCCCCAACATATGTGTCTTTGGGATTTTTAAAGCGAGGTGCTGAGAGATTGCTGATAGTTCAGATTACATAATTTACACATTAAGCAGTACATAGTAAGCCCAACACAATAAACCTTCATAGAGGCAAATAATGAACAAAGACATCTGGAATGACGTACGCAACTGACAGATTATTTGGCCACAAGGGCTAAAACTAATGGCTAATCCAGGAGAGACTAAGACCGAAACCTGCTTCTACCTTTTTGAAATAACTGCCTTCAGCAAGCAATATTTAGCGAACCTCAAAGCCACCTTTATGTCGGGATTGGTTGTTTGCAACACAAGAAGTGGAGGTAAGAGAAGATTCACCAGGTATCATCTTCCTGTGTGAAACGTACGGAGACCTAAATAAGTTACGTAAAGCATTTCTAGTCAAAGTACCTGTTTTTCCTAGGCTCCTTGATGCATTGCAAGGATTTTCTTGTTGGTTCTCAGATCAGTGTTCTAACATGGAGCAAATGGTTTCTCACAGAGCAAACATGGACTGCAAAAAAAATGTAGGAAAATCAGCTTGATCACTTTAAATTGGATAGTTTCAGTCTGACTACCAGTACCTCTTATAAAGGCTGAGGAGAATGACATGAACCAATGGAAAAATGTAGTGTCCACATTCATGTTGCTTCCTTATCCATGTAATCCAATAGAAAATAATACACAGTTCAAAAGATCAATCCTGTTTCACTTTGGGTTCATGTTTAACACACAGCTACTGAAGGCACTGGTGATTATAGGTGCAGCAGCTGCAAACAATCAAAGAGTTGGCATGTTTAGTTAAAGAATCAAGAAGTTTAGCAAAATGTAAATTGGTTAAAAAAATAAAAATTCTCCTCACTGCCTACAAATGGCTTCCTGAACTTTACTGCAACTTCTGGTAGCTTACTGGACTTTGCAAACACAACCTGAGAGCCAACAGGACAAAGGTGGATTAAAGTAAAGCGTTAAAAAAAATCAGACATATTCCAATGTTTAAGTGAATGCTATTTCATAGATTTTTACATTGTTTTATAATGTCTTCATATGTGTTTCACTCAGGAAGATCCACGGTGGTGCACTGCCTCTTACCTCCACTTCCTGATTGTTTCCCTTCCCCAAGCAAATGTGGTGACAGTTTTGATGTTTGACAAATAGGAATCAAAAATATCTGCCACATTTTGAGGTTGTAGTTGTTTTAGAAAGGTGGAAGTTGTTTCAGAAAAGCAATTTTTATTGGAATAGCTGTAAGCTTTACTCTCCATTTATAATACATGATAAAACTATCATTTATTTACTGCAGTGAACTCTGACATTTTAACACATCACCTAAAAAATTCTGAACCTTTTCCATGGAGTTAGATTTTATTTATTTATTTTTTTTCCCTTATTTTTCAGAATTTCTAACATTAGCCAGACTAAATTGTTGTTGACTAAATCATTGCTTTGTTGGTCATGGGAGAAAAAAAAGAAAGAAAAACAAAGGATCTCTCTGCTCTGCTGCATCAGCTTGAATCATTTTTATTTATCCTTTTTTTTCCCTGTCTGCAGCAGACAACAAAACTAAAGTGCAGTGATAAATCGGTGGAGTGCTCCTGCAGGGGTCATGTGTTGCGTGTGACCCCAGGGCTCCAGACAAAAAAAAAACTTCCTGTTCAGTCTGGATCTGAAAAAGCAACAACAGCGGCAGGGGCCCTTCTGGACTCCTGCACACACTCACCGACCGACAACACGCACCTGCACACCGATCTCAGCTCAAGCACAAACATGGGCATGCGAGATGACACACATGCATGCATGCACGCAGACACAACTCTGTGGAGACCAATGACGCCCACCCTGTGAATAGAGTCAACTAAACTTGCATGATGGGAAACTTAATTGTGCCAGCACGTGTCTCTTTGATGTTATTTGACCTTTTTATCATTATTATTATTATTATTATTATTATTTTTGCTTACTGACTTGGTCTTACTTTCCCGAGCTGTGTAATAAGCCATCTGTGTGTTGTTTTGTTTTTCAAAAAAATAATAATAAAATGACAATAATCATGTTTCCAATTTGAATGTAGTGTGAACACAGAACTCGCATGAGAGAATTATTTTCTACTGAGGACGTTTGTAATTTGTTTCTTATCGTTATTGTTGTTGAAATGAGGACGAAGCGGAGCTAGAATGCAGCCTGATTGTGATCTGCTTCCTATTAAAAGGATGTTTTTGTGTCACAAACTAAACGTCTCCCTGTACCTTTACTTTGAAACTTTTTTTTTTATGTCACATCGTCAGATTTCTCTGTGCATCACAAATTGCGGCTGTCGACGGGGAAGAACAGGCGAAATGAAAACAGAAATAAAACCACTCACAAGTGATCATTGGGAAAGGAATCCCGACCAAAAGGACGAGATCCTGAACACAAACGTTTGAAATGAACTCCTCCAATCTAACATGGTAACGGAGGGGTGCAGCGTTTAGCCGCTGCTCTTCACCACAAAGGGGTTTACCTGTGGGTGTTCATCTGGTGATCGGGATACTTCCTGAGGGAGGGTTTCCAGACACATCCCACTGGAAGGAGATCTGAGCAGACCCAGAAGATCTGAAAAGTGTGGCGTGCATTTGTATTCAGCCATCCTTATTCATAAAAAAAAAAAAAATCCTTGCTACCAATTACCTCTAGGAGTAACCTCTTATAAATTATTTTCAATATAAGCCAAGAGTCACTGTAATGCTTAGATGAAACTGAATTGATTTGTACAGACACTGTCCATTCAGTTTGAGTAAAGTTGAGCCATGTCGCAAAGAAAAACTGGCAAAAGTTTTTTCCTCTAGCCATTCAAATCCATGAAGACTTGCAGTAGAGTGTAGTTTAAAACACTTGCCTCAGGTGGGCTGAACACCAAAGCATGCAGGGCTTCTAGGTCAGCGGTCTTCCCCTTGTCAAGGTCACAACACAACATTTAAGGATAAAAAAAAACACACATTGCTAATCCTATGTAATCAAAACATTCGACTTAATGCATTTTAGGTTCTCATATCTAAGTCACATTCATCCGACATGCAAATTATTTAATAGGAGTTCCCCTTATTGAATTGAAATACTAAGTTAAATGAGCTTTTTACACGAGTCATATTTCATATCTTTATGCTAATGAAGTGCTTCTGCAGACAACACACCCCTCCATTAAGCAGGCTTTGTTTTGGCTGCAGCTGTGCGTCTGCAAGGTTACACTGCCACCTGGTGGCTCCAGCTGCAGCTCCACGCTGGTTGCACCTCCACCCCATACTGCACCGCTTAGAAATAAAGACACGAGACACAAGCTGGTATTTTTTACAGTAAAAAAATGAAACCAAAAAACAAGACTTTATTAAAGAAGCATAAAAAATAAAACTCTTGATACATTTCTCATAACCGTTAAGTCAGCTCAAATTATACGCTTATACAATTTCTCCGGCTCACGGTTAAAAGGTCCATAAACTTTCAAATAAAATATATTTCAATTTTAAAATTTCTTCAATAATTTTTCTCATTTTGTTATAAATTGCCTATATGTAGTACACAGGAAATAAAGGAAAAAAAAAACAAAACAAAAAAAGAATAGTGGAAAATAAAACATAAAAATTTTGAAGTAATAAAAAGGGTCACATTATTGTCTGGGATATTTAGGTAAGCAAATAAAATCGTAAAAAATAAAACATGTAAAAACTTTTTTTGTTTTTCATCTTAAAAATTATTAGCTAATGCCGGGTGGCTTTGAAGACATGCAGATGGTTAACTTACAAATAATGATACATGTTCTTTAGAAACTACACTTATCTTCAATTAAGTCCTTTTTGCTTTTGAAAAACAAGATCCTGTTGATTGTATCCAGGGTATTTACACACACAGGTTAGGCCTGAAACCTAGTTCGCCGACGGTTTAAACATTTTGGTTCTGCATACAAAGAGAATTAAAGCAAAAAATAGGAGAGAGCAGGGGGCTTGAGGGGGAGTCTGTTACCCCCTTCCCTGGCACGGCTCTCTTAGCATCCCCCCTCTAATCACAAAAAGAAGGTCGGAGGTCACTGACTAGCATGCCTCAGGAAACCCTGTTTTCAAACCTTAAAGGAAGGAATTGGGGGATGGGGATACAATTAGCTAAAAAAATTAAAATAAAAAGAAAGAAAAAGAAAAAAAAACATTAAAAAGTCAATCTGAAAATAAAAAAAAATTTGTACCTTTTTAACATTTAAAATTACTGTACATCAACCCTAACATTTGCTCGTTGGCCAGAAAAAAACAAACAAAAAACCCTCAAAGATTTAACATGAAAACCCATCTGGCAGAATACAACAATTTATTCTTCAACACGTCAGCCTGGACAGTTTCAAAGAAAGGGCCTCAACAGACTCGCACCAGTCATCACATATGTGCTCATTCAGACGGCCCGGCATCTGGTCCCAGTTTGAAGACGCGAAACGACAGCAACGGATCCGACAGGAAGGGCGGGAACGCAACGAGAACGAGCGCAGGGGGAACCGTCGGGTCTATGGTGCACCCGGGGGCTGCTGGGGGGCATCGGGGTGGCGGTGGTTGTTGTTGTTCTGAGAAGTAAATGGCGGCCCCTCGCTGTAACGAGCGGGTTTGTTCGTCTCTGAGACTCAGTAGGGAGTTGCACCAAAGCACCATGGATAAGTCTTTGTATTGACTTATCAAGTTCCAGCTCCCGGGTTGCATTTTCTCCTGCAGTTAAAAAAAAAAACAAACATATATATATATATATATATATATATATATATATATATATATATGTGTGTGTGTGTGTGTGTGTGTGTGTGTGAATGCGAACCTTTCGAAAAGCAGCAAAGAACTGCAATCACGCTGAAACTAACTGGAGCACCAAAGAAGCATAACTTGTATAAATCACTGTTCGTCGTCTCTTTAAAAAATTAAAAACACAAACCCTGCAACCCGTCCTGGTCAGTGGGGAACGTCACACTACACACCAACAGGACCCGAATGAGATGAGCGCGCAGGGACGACTGGAAAACTGATTAAACATAAAAAAATAAAACCAGCAAAAAACATTCTGCAGCTGCTGGGATTGGAACACAAGAAGTGTCTGGAAGCCCTGGATGACCTAGCTACTAGCTGCCATAAAGGATAAGTTGATTCCTCCTATACGGTGTGAGCCTGAACATGTGTGATTATGTGTGTGTGCAGTCAGAGGAAGCCCTTGAGAATGTTTATTCTAGGTGTCATGGCTTGTCTCATTCTATGAGAGAGAGAAAACAAACAAAAGCAAAAGAAAGGGGGCCACCGAAACAGACTCCGCCGCCTGAAATGCAGCGTTTTTAACACTATAAGAGGCAGTTACTGCAAACTCGTTGAACTTTTTTCTTCTTTTTTTTTCCTCCAAGGGGAAAAAAAAAACCAAAAAAAAAAAACCACAAACACCAAACAGGACGCACCTGTCTTATTGGAGTAATGCTATGAAACACAGGACGAATCTCAAACTACTAACTATATAGTACACTACATTTTGTGGACAGTACAGCGCTGTATAGATAGATTTAACACATCTGGCTTCTTGGGCCCCTTTGGGGGAGTAATGGAACGTCGATGGGAATCAATCTGGGGTCCAGGGTTCGGTATAAGCATAAAACAAACAAGTGATGAGCTTTAGGTGCTTGGATACCGTGGCAGACGAGATCAAACGTTATACTAGAGAGCTTCTTGTTGCCAATTGGTAAGATTAATCACTTCAACCAGCCTCTATTGGGGTGAACCAGAACGCCTTGGAACTAAGCATCTAATAGGTATCGTTTTTCTACGTTGCTGTTTGTTCCAACTTATATTTTTAATTCATGAGATACGCGATCTGTAAAATACAATTGTTGAACATGAAATATGCCAGTGTACATCTACTTTTTACTTTAAACTTAATGGCTTTCTTAGTGTTTTCTCATTGCTTTCTTTTAATCATTAACCAACGTTGATCGTTCTAAAAATCACATGGAATGTTGATTACCGGGAAAATACATGAAGTTATGTCTACATAGTCTCAGTTTCTAAAATAAGAGCCATAAAGGCAGGCGACAAAATAAAAAATAAATACATTTAAAAAAAAAAAAAAGCAAAGATAAGAAAGGAGATGCAACTTATCTTTCCACTTATACGGGTTTTCTATGACTTTCATGCATGCGTCGTCAGCGGAGAGTTGGCTCCCCCTGGTTGCTGCTGAGAGAAGGGAGACTGTTCACATCCTTTGTGGGGGACTCCCCTCGAAATTAGAGGATTACCTGCGTTTTGATTGGCTATATGATGGCAAGAAGAAGAGCTCACCCAAGGCGGCATTAATGCAAAAACTGCTAGTAAATATGAAGCTTCAATGCTCCTTTGATAGACTTCAGTCAAGGCCAGCGTTAGTCACGATATTGATCTCTATTAACCTAAAAGGTTAACTGCCAACGTACGTCTCCAAAGACACAACACCTAGAGCTAACGTTCACCATCTGTTTATTTTATGCTTTTATCACGAAATAAGCCCCTCAAGACATCCATTTACTCCCATTCAAACCGTTCCATCTCCACCACCGCCCCCAAAAGGGGGAGGAGCCATTTGGGAGAGAAGGAAGTGGAGTGACGTTGAATCCATCTATAGGTACAACAGTGTCATCTGAGAGAGACAGCTTTGCTGTCTGAGAGGGGTGGAAGACGGAAACAGTAAGAGCTGTTTCTCTTTTTTGTTTTTCTTTTAACAAAGGGATTACAGTGCGTGAAAACAAATTCAAGCCCCTTGTTCGTCTTCTGCTAAATCGTATAGAACTTAACATTCTCATGTGACATCAAAGCCCTGTCTCGTCATAGAGTTCTAAACATGTCTTACCCACACACTATACAGACAAGAGTCAAACTACTAAAAGAAAAACAACAAAAAAATCCCACTAAAAACGAGTAGATTTAAGTGTAACAGACACGATTTGGATCAGACGAATGAAACGGCGCCCTCTCCAGGTGATGGCGCTCTGTCGCGATTGGGCATCATACTAACACAAACACGAGATGTGAACGGATTGTCAGGCAGTCTAAACATACAAACCGACCACAATCACAGGCCGTCAGCGTCGCTAAAAATGGTACATTTCTCACATATTACAGAATAATAAACAACCACACTAATTATGCGGCGAGGACTCATCCAAATTTCACCGAACGCGTTACCAAACTGAATCGAGGAGTATAT